GGGCACAGAGTCTTGAGGGAATGCTGATAAAGGTCTGGCAGGCGCTGAGATAGTGGAGACGCTGTGACACTGACTCATACAATGTTAACTCACTGAAGCCCTGGAAACAACCCTGGGAGTTCAGATTTCATTGGCACTTTGCACGAGGCGGCTCAAGTCCCATTCTTAGCGCTAGACTTTGCCAGAACATGGCCAGAGTTTCAGCTTAGGCACCTGTTTTTGAACAGAGAAGGTCTGAGAAACCCCTGGGGAAGTCCTGTGGTGTCTCCCAACCTGCTCTCACCAAGTGGCACTGCCACCAGGTCAGTCCCTGCAGATGTCCCACTGCCCCATCCTGAGCTGCCACCTTCACCCTGCTGCTCACACTGCCAGGCATCTGGGACCCACAGCCAGTCGTGACTGCTCCCAGGAGGTCAGACTAGCAATCACAGCACATGTGCCCCTGGAGAGGATACTGTTGGACAACTGACATGTGTGAAGCCAAGATATTCTCCAGCTCGAGAGACCAGGACTGCAGAGCTGTTCTCCCAGGAGAATCCCAAGCTCCAGATAAGATGAGAGACACAGATGAAAATAAGAGCAGTCAGAAATAGAAGAAGCCCTGTCCTAATGATGCAGTGAGAACAGGAGACTTAACAAGGTCCTGCCGAGTTACTGCTGCCCTTGCCCATGTCATTGCTGCCTGCAGTCCTTGCAAGTTATTCCTTACACCAGCACATTCCAGGGAAAAGGCAACTCTGGGCCTCAGTACCGCCTTGATGAAGCAGAGCCAGATTGAGGCAGTAGCAGTCTGGGACAGCAGCTTTGAAGAGTCTTTAAAGGTTGTTAACCTCAGAGATTCTGAGTTGCCTGAAAGCTCAGCTAATGCTCTGGCAATGTCCTTAAGAAAAGCAGCCTGCAAGAGCTCCTACCCGCCTGTGTTCAATCTGAAAGGATAAAAACAGCATCGTGGCTGTGGCAACATGCTTGCCCTGTATTTTTCGGCAGTAATTCTGAAAACGTTAGATCTCAATTTGGTTTGTGTGTTGAAGCAGATTGGAAAGCAATGGTTTGTACCCTCTCTGTTATTTGCAGAGCACATGTTAAGCAAAACCATATCCAGCTGCTCCCACAGCAAACCCTGCCACTCATCCTCCTGCAAGACGTGGCCAGCTGAATGCCAGTGCTGGCAGCCAGGCTGGGCTGGGACTGGCCAGGGGCACAGCTGCTCCAGAGGTGGTGTCCACACCTGCAGCCTCAAGGCATTGCTTAAGCCTGAGTTTGGATCTAGATGATCAAAAACTCAGCTGTACACGGGGCTCTCTATTGCCCTTCTGGCATGGGGCCTTCGAGCACTCCTAACGCCAAATTTTCCCTTCATCGGCTATGCTAGGAAGCTCTATCTGTTTTTCTTACTACAAGCTGTGAGCCTTATGAAAAGCACGACTCAGGAAGCCGGGCTTTACAAAGAACACCTAGAACACTGAAACACCTGCAAGAAATGCAGTCAAAGTTGGCAGTACTAACATTATCCTCCTGCCCCCAGGTGCCTCACCTGCCTTAATGCACCCACTCTGGTGACTGGCATGTCCTTCCTGACCATTCCAAGAACAGGAGTTCCCAAAAATGCATTGCATAATCCATTTGCACTTTAACATAGGAATTATGGGAGCCCTCTGTTCATGTCTGACTACAAGACCATAGGCAGAAAGTTTGTATTAGCCACAGAAAGACCATATGGGGCAAAACCCCTCGCTGATTGCAGAAGCAGTGCACTATGTGTGCCAGAGGAGAGGAGCAGGACGCTGCTGGTGCTGCTGGTCCTGCAAACACAGAAAGCTAAGGATTCAATTCAGGGGACAATACAGATAAAACCCAGGCTAGCTTCCCATGCTTCATCCATACACACAGAGAGTCATTTAACCTAAAATATAGGAGCCCAGCTTACAAGCCAGGCAAGAAAGATTTCAATACCACTGCCAGGAACAATAATAGACTGTACTACAGACCTTATTTCCTGTGATGGGTACCTCAGAACAGGGCAAAAAGCCTCCTCGCTCTCATCCCCTGAAGTTGCACAGGGAGCAGAGAGAAGTACCGGCTTTCTACAGCACATGTTTTTGCTCAGGAATCTCCATCCCAATAGCCAGAGCTCTTTCGAATACACTTGTGTCTAAGAGGGTGCAGAGGGGAGGGTAACCCTAAAGCCTGCACCCAGTGGAAGAGCAGGGAGGGGCTGCCTCAATGCAACTCTGCCAGTCTGAAAAGCCCTTGATTAGAGAGCGAGGCACAGTCAAGGCTTCATGTTCTCTAAGGGTGAAGAACGTGGATGTGGGAATCATTCTCTGTTGCCATGACTGTCAACCAGCTCAGGGTGTTTGTTAACTGGTTGTAGCAAAGGGGTTGAGTACTTTCTGTGGCTAATGCAAGCTAATTTTTCCTACACTGAATACTCTACTTTTGCTAAAGTGGTATTTTCCACATGGTGGCTTGAGACTGAAAATTTCTACCATATGCCATATTCAATTATCTCATTCTATACTGAGAAAAGCAGGGATTGGAGAAAGAAAAACAAAGATTGGTATAGACATATTTATGAGATTTAAAATAAAAATGTGAGGTTTATATTTCCAGGAATAAAAATTAAGCAGAATTTTAAAATACCACAGCTATGCTCTTTAATGGCCCATACTCAGCTGCTCCTGCAGTCTACCAGAAAGGATAAATATGATTTTTGATCGTAACATCTTTGTGGTAGAACAACAGACTTTCCATGCAGGGTTGCTACTTGGACCTTACTCTAACAACTACAATCTCCTCCTTGCAGAGCCAAATTCAGGGTTCAGAAGGACAGACAAAACCAGCATCTGGCTGACCAGGAGCATGAAAATGCAGCATGGCTATAGGCTGGAGCGTGCCCCAAAAAAACGGAGCTGGGCAGTGGGTGACTGAATCAAAGTCGCTCAGACATCATTAAAAATTCAGCACAGAATTAAAAATTCAGTACATCTAACTTCTTGGGCGCAGCTAGGGGAAATACCCAGTGATGCTGCTCTGACAGCACAAAGGTTCAGAAAAGATGCTCACCCTGAGCGCAGGCAGCTCGACGAGGAAAGAAAAGCTGCTTCGCTGAGCAGTGCCCAAGGCCCTACCTATCTACCCCTGTCCCGCCTCCCGCGATGGCCCCACGCATGCCGCTGGGGGCAGCTCCAGCCCCAGAGCTGGCACAACACACACAGCGCTGTGCTGCCTCAGCTACCACCTGTCAGGCTGCAGCTGCCCGGGCCTCTGCGACTTCACCATCCCACTCAATGAGCCTGTCTCCCATAAACCAAGCTGCTAGGGTGGGGAGGGGGGGGGGTGGTTCCGAACTTACATCAACATTTCACACCTGGAGCATCCCATGCCGAGGAGATTACCAGAGGATAAGAGGCACCAGCTGTCTCCCCAGCGCAGTTCGGGCATACTGCCCTGCGTGCAGGAGCTGGAGGACATGCTGTCCCCCGGGGCAGGGGCATGGGCCGGCTGCGGGACGGCGGGCAGCCTGGACCCGCGGTGTGTTGGCAGAGGCTGCCCGAGGTCTCCCCTGGCTCAAGGCAGGCGGACCCCGGCATCCCTCGGCCGCCCGGAGCCCCGGCGGGCAGCGCGGCCCTGTGGCGGCCGCGCTCCTCGGGCGCCGCCCCGCGGCCCGGCCCGGCCTGGCCCGGCCCTGCCGCCACACGGCCGTGCCCGCCGCAGCTCCGGAGCGGGCACCCTGTCGTGCCCCATCGCGCCCCGCTGCCGCCACGGGAAGCCTCGAGAGGGGCTGTGTCGGCCTGCGGTGTCTCAGGCCCCACTGCCAAGAGCTGCACTGAGGAACTGCTCTCACTTCACCCAGAACACGTGGGTTGCCTTAGCCGCCAGCTTTAGCACCGCACCCCCACGCAGCTCCCACACCTGGCATTCCTCACAGATCCAGGGCGGTAACCACGCTACCCCCCCCTCGCTCCCCCCGTACCGCTCTACTGAACCCACGCAAGATTTGCCTGTACCATGAGAAGCCCCACCTGCAGAAACAGGCTCGTTCCATGAATTCTGGTCAGCAGCATTCCACCTAATGGGCAAGAAAGGGCTATAACTTGCCAGGCAAAGAAACAAGGAGAAGTGACAAAGCCCTTCCACTTTAGGTGACTTAATATTTGCCTGTTATCTTTACCTCCACAGAAAGCTCCATCAAACCACCTCCTTCCAGCATCCCCAAACCAAAGATGGATGAGTTGAAAATCTGTTTACTGGAAACATAGCAGGTATTGGACAGAAATACGAAGTACAAGAAGGGATGTCATAAGAATAAGGGCAACACAAAATCAAAGTATATAAAAAGCAAATTATTTTTTCAGAATGCTAGTTTTGATGGTCCATAAAATATCCAGAGGAAAGTAAGAAAACAAACAAGAGACCCCCAGTCACCAAGCTTCTTCAAGAAGAGATCCAAGTAGTCATTACTATGGCACCCGTTCATAGATTTACAACCCAAGAAAAGAAAACTTTCCTTTATCCAAGCCAGACTCCAGGCCAGCAGGTTAGGTGACTTTGGCAGCACTTTGTATCACCAGTGGGCTGGTGTGCCTGTCCTTGGAGGCAGCCCACAGATGCTGCTGACAGGATCTTTCTACACCCTTGAGAGTTCACATGCTTGGTTTTCTAGAATAACCACCACGAGCAGCTTAACTTGTCTCTTCAGTTAGATTCAGCTCCCCTTCAGTGTCCCGCTGATTCCAACCTGCTCAGCTGGGTTCTTAATACCTGACAGAGGCCCCTTTGGCATTGTGCTACTGAGAATGGGCAGGGAGGAACAGGAGTTGTTCCAGTGACTACAGTGCCTCTGGGTTTGTCACCACCAGCAGAGCTCATATGGATTACAGTCTGGCAGCAAATTAATTTCTACAACCTATCTCAAATTGAAGATATTACTGGATACCGTCCTCCTTGGACACACACACACAAAAAGCTACACAATAAGCTTTTTTCTATCCATACTTTATTGCAGGTGTACATATAATTATTTTTATTTTAAACAAGCAATTCCTTTCATGGAAAGGAGAAACTTTTACCATTAAAATAGAGTGATTATACCACGAGTATTTTACAAATATGTACAAGTATTGGCAGCTAGTTTCTAACTGATAAATGTTTACACACTAAAGTCTACCAAACTATCAAACCCAAAAATAAAAAGAGACCTTCTAAATCCAAAGACAAACAAACAAACAAACAAAAAAACCCTACTACTAGCAAAAACAGGTGTGTGGGGTTTTTAATATGAATACAAAAAGTTGCATAATAGATATTCACAGTGCTCGGAAGATATTAATTCATTCTCAGTCTATACACAAAAGTGTCTGGTCTCCCCTTCATATGCATATATCACTTATAGTACTGGAGGGGTCTGCACACACCACTGAGAGAAGAAGATGGCCAGACCTGTGGAATTTGCCTTCCCCACCAGCCACGAATACAGGTACATACAAGGCAGTGGATGCTCATGCAAGTCAATTACACTGTTTTCAGGCACTGCTGTATTTTGTAACAGTGGCAGCAGCATTACAGCACTTCGCCAAATCCTTTGGAAGCCTGTTAGCTGCAAAATCAGAATACCAAGCTGCCTGGTGGCAATAAACACTTCAGTGATGTGGTTAGGCTGTGTTAAGCAGGTGTGAACGTGATTGTCTTTGAGACAAATGTGCACATGGTGCACATGCATTTTATGACAGTTTTCCAAACAACTACACACTGATTTTTGACCTTTTTGTCTTATTAACAACCACTACCAGAACCACAAGTAACCATAGGTCTGCACGGGTAGGAGAGTTTAGCAGGGCTGTTGCTCCAAACCTTGCCCCCCAACCTTTTCCACAGGCAGATGGGCATTGCCGCAGTAAGACCCACTGCTCCAGCTCTGCGGTGGATGCAAAAGCCAGGCTCTTGCACTGCTACAGGGCTGCTCCCTGCAGTGCAGCCACTGGCCTCCTGGACTCTGGCTCTGGCCATCCGCCGTGGCTTACAGCCAAACAGGACCCAGGTAACAGAGAGCGACAGACAGCGGGAGGCTTGACTGGACTGTTCAAGAGCAGACAGCAGCCAGATTTTCTTTATCCATTTAGATCCATTTAGGAGAGTTTATTTTGGATGCAGTAAACATACCCCAAGTACTTAGTAAAGGCATTTTGGCTTTGTTTGGAACAAAGGAAAAGAGGCTACAGTGAACACTCAGCTCCTAATTTTCATTACAAAAAGAAAGAACAGTGTGATCAAAGAGGGCACAGTCAATTAAGTCATGGCTGCAGTGAGCCTGTGCCCACCGTTCATTCCTCAAACACACAGCTAGGGTTTAGTGCTGGATTCATCTCAGACGAAGTACAGCCTCTGATGCCACTTCAGCAAATGCAGATACACCTGCATGCTCTGTCTCTACACCACACTCACACTTGCATAGAAATAGTGAGATGATGGACTCCATGGATTAGCTATTTTAACAGCTTATGGGAATGGAATTTACCAGACAACTACTAAGCCTGCAAGCCCACCATCAAAGCAGCAGCTCAAACCTTCCTCATCATGGTCTGGCTTTCCTTCCCCTCCTGAGTTTGTCTATCTTCAGCTTTTGAGTGATCAACACTGCACAACACACACTTCCTCAACCAGCAGAATAGGATCCCCTAGCTTTTAGAATTTGCCAAAACACACCTGCAAGGTTGTCAAAAGCTGGGCACAGGTTACACCTGTGTACCTTCAAGCTTGTACCTTCAAGTACAAGCTTCCCAAATGCTGAGAACTGATGAGAGAGGAGGTACTGGGGAAAGATAGGGGAGGAAATCAAACACGTTTATTTGTATGTAACAAGGTAGCAGGATGTTTCTCACACCAAATGCCTGAATCATTATCATTATTTTCCTAGTGAGAGCCAGCACAGCCAGCTCCACCACTCTCAAGAACACCAAACAAGTATCCTCAGTCTGGCACACAAACAGCCTACACTTCCACCATCATCAGCCCTGCAGCATCACACACACATATTTGCATGACCTATCCATGACTAAGTGGGACACTGTCACTCTGTCTGTCCTTACAAGGCAACTTTCTCCAGTCCATACTTGCCTTCTAAGCAGAGGAAAAATTTCTAAGGAACAGATTTATTAAAAACAAACAAACAAAAAAAATAACATAAAAGTATGAATCAAAGTAAGGGGTGATCATGCCTGGACAAATTCTCCAGTCACACTCCTGTCTTCAAAAGGCAGTCAATTAACACTCTTAACTTGTCTTCTGTACTCTCAGAAGCAGCCAAGTCATTTGTTTTATCCTCTCCCCATCTCCCCAAGGATATAAGCATTTATTTATCAATCTGCACCACAGCAGTAGTAGACAGCTGAGAGATAGTTCCATTTGTTGCAGTAAAGAAAAAAAAGAAAAAAAAAAAAAGGCCGCATATTGTATTTGGCTGGATGCTTAGAAAAAACCAAAACAACAACAAAAAAGAGGAATAAACTCCTGGCAGAGCAGGTCTTGCTCCCAGTGAAGCAAATAGGCAACCTGCGTTCATTATAATAGAAACAGGCCAGACACTTCCATACACAGCCCTCCAAATGTGCTCAGAGTATATCCTGGCCTTACAGCTGTTGGCAGAGTTGCAGCAGCACAAACTGAAGACAACCAAACTATCTGTACACTAGCATTAACAGACATGGACCACAAGACAAAGGCAGGAAGATAAACTGACATAGACTTTAAATTTCTTTCTGATTAACCCATTTAGACAGAGTTTGCTTTACCAGCTCAGCGTCAGTTTTGGTCCGCTGTTTTTTTGGTTATGTTGGTTGAGTCACTGCTAATAGTGCAGGCTGCTTCCATTTTCTGCTCAGACAGACACTTCCAATGTCAACGTTAAGTGCTACACTCGTTGATTTGCCCTGTAGTCAGGTCTGCAGAAGTGATGCCACTTACTGATACGGAGCTGAATAACAAAACCGCTCACAATCTCCTGCAAGAACCAGAGTGGCATCACATGTGTGAATGAGGTATATATTTCCATAATGAGCTGTTTCCTGGTATGGAAGAGCTCCAATCTCATTACACCACAAACTCCTCTGGGAGCTGGTCCTCTCCCAGAAGATCTAAGGAGAGGCAGTTCATGGACCGCTTCCCATAAAGGGCAGACTTGGTTTTGCAGTCTGCTGTGGAATAAACACAGCCATAAATAGACAGCTTATCCTCCAGGCTGCAGCCAAACGTGTAGCTGTGGGACGTGTCTGAAGACAGTGTGGCACTTAGTGGTGGGTGCTGGTGCTTGTAAAGGCGGATGTCATCCAAACTCTGGCTGTGCTGGTCCATGCAGCTCCTGCTTCTGGGCGACCTGACCTGCCAGTTCACAAGACACACATGAATAAAAACAATGAGCTCAGACACAGCCTAAGGATGCTTGTCTATGTATGCTACAAATTTTCCAAAATTGTTCTTCCATTCTTTCAAAAGAGCCCCACCAGCCTTCTGAAGGATGTTGGCTTAATGAAGAAGCTGTGAAACATTAAAAAATTACAAGTGGATTAAGCTACCCTATCATGTTGAACCAGATTCTGATCTGTCTGCAGTTGTGTCCTCAGTGTCCAGCACAATGGATGGAACACTTGACAGAGACTGACACCTGAATGACCTGACACTTCTTGGCAGATCCATGCAGTCGTCTTCAAATGGACAAACTGCACTTAAAACAAAACCACCCCAACTGCTTGAACACACTGAGTTAAGTCTAATGACTTAACTATACAAGCTGTAGTGAGTCAGCCTCTGTAAAGGAATTACTGACCATTTGAGACATTTCCAACTTCACCACTTGTTTCTTTTCTTGCTCTGCCTCTTTAATAGTCACCTCTTAAATGCTAATAATAAGGCTGATTTCAGGAATATCACTTTGAAACCAAGACACTTCTTTTACACCACAGAAAACTTCCTCCCGGTATCGCTTCTCTCACTGCCATAGGAAGGCCATTAAAAAACACCGCAAAGGAAACCCTGTGTTGGCTCAGCTGTACTCCCAGAGACAGGAGTACGTTGCATGGTTCTGTCAGTGCTAAGGAAACCCTGCAGCATTTAGTTACATGGCCTTGTAAGAAAGGTTTTGGTGGTTTTGTAAGGAGGCACCAAATATTTGATGCATTAAGTGGCAGCCAGGTCTTTGCAATTGTATAGAAGTGTTGATCAGAAACATTTTTATAAAACAGTCTCCCAGTCAACTAACAGGGTAAGCATGTGGTGGTAACAGCAGTAAATTAAAAAACATTACTTTAAGTAAGATGCCTACTTCCAGCCTTGAGCTCTTAAGCCATCCACTCAAATATAGGCATAAGTTCACTATGATTTGTACTGCATGGTCTTTAGCTTTGGAAAAAAAACTCCACCAAATTTTATTCAAATCTACTATAGCACTTTACAGACTATTTTGCTGATAAGTGAAAATCTCTTATTACTTTTGACTGGGTCCAGGAAGAAACATAAAATACTAAATAAAAGTCCTAAGAAGTGATTGAAATCCTTGTTCCAATTTTTACAGTTCTTTCAGTAAGGCAAATTTGGATTCAGAGAGAAAAGAAAATGTGGAGGCTTTTTTTTGGTTTTGTTTGTTTTCCAAAACTCCACAAAATTTCCACTCCAGTGGGCACAGCTACACTTTGAAAAGAGGTCTTCAAAAGACTTTTTAGTAAGATTTTTCCAAATAAAACTCATTAAACTATGTACTTTGCTATATATAATTGCCCTTTCTCAAATGTTTGATGAAAACTTTGACAACAAAGACTTCAAGCACACACAGAGTATAATCACAAAAATGATATAATAATTAGAGCTTGAACATCTGGTTTTGCCCCAATGTGAGCTACTTCTGGCTTCAGAAGCAGGAATATGATTAAGTTTGCAACCCACACCCAAACTGCATGGATGGTCTTCGCTCTGTAATCCACTCAAAATCTGGAAGTGGTTGATTTTCTATTTCCCATCCAGAAACCTAAGGTAGACAATAACTGGCTTGCAAGACTTCCATGCTTTGCTTCCATGATTGCTCCAAACCTCTCTATACTATTCTGAACCCAAATGCTGCTCTCATCCTATTCCTGAGAGCAGCAGCAGACCAACAGCTGGTTTTGATTACACCATTTAAAAATGAGTCGAATCCAGACCAATTCAGGTCACTTGATCTACAGCTGTCTCCGTTACACTAGACCTTGGTTCAATGCCCACACACATGCCAGACCCTCCTGCTGAGCACCCCCCTCCCTTACCTGGTGAAGGGATTCCACGCTTTGGCCTCTCATTTTGATTAGCGTGACTTGCACCACAGACAGCGATCCGTGATTTACAGCTGAAAAGGAGAAGGAGAAAAGGAAAAGCAATGCAGGTTTGAGGTTTTGTGGGCTGCAGAAAAGGGAAATTGTTCTCACAAGCTCAACCCTGCTCTCCTCTAAATATAAATATGCATCAGTAAGCACCCTCACTGCTCCAGGAATTTTGCTCACAAGTACTCCTTTTTGCCCCTGAAGATCAATGTTTAAAAACTTTCAAGAAAATAGTTTCTCACCAACATGTCCCATTTTCACCCATTTTGCTTTACATTAAAGGCTGTACATCTTAAGGCCAGACAGCTCCTGCGTGATCCTGTTGTCTAGCATTCCCTGTATCACAAGCCACAAAACTTTACCTATGAATTCCTGTTGAGTAGCCCATTTTGCTGTGGTTGAACCCCTTGGCTGTTTTGTGGTATACAAGACTTTAAAACAAATTCCTTCACTAAAAAGGATTCACCTCAGCTATCTTTTGGTCATTAACTGAATATAAACTTGGCACATTTGGAGAAGGGAGACTTAGAGGAGCACAAAGAAGAGCAGCACTGTACAACATGGAATGCTGCCCTTTAACCTCTTGATGAACTGACTGCAAATCCTGTTGCAGAAGAGCAGTAAGTAGCACTGGCAGTTGTTTGGAAGAAGATAAGTTTTCTTAGGTCCCTCAGATTGTGCCTGTTGCTGGAGCCTTAAAGAACAGCACTGAGCAGTACCAGAGCACCATCTCACCTTGGCAGCTAGCAGCATCTAAAGGCAGAGATTCAACAGACTCTCCCACAGTGGCCTCCTCTAACTGGTCTCCCTCTAAAGGCTCATCTACAGGCATCTCCTCTGGCTCATCTACTGCCAGCTCAAGCTCTAGGAGAAAGAGAGCAGCAGGAGAATGGTTAGCATTACACTTGTGCTCCAAGCTGCTGTATAGACTCTTACTCCCCACTCTCCCACAGGAGAAGACAAAAGTGGGCTTAGAAGTCGCTCTGCGTCTCCAAATTCTTTACCATCATCCTGAGGGTCGTCTTCAGCCCGCCCTTTGCTGCCACTGTCAATGCCAGAGCTACCGTAGCTGATGGTTGAGCTGCAAGATTTCTCTTTCCTATGCACCCGGTCGATGCTGAAGGGCTCATCCACCGACATTTCCACTGACACCCGGTGCCTGGAGTCAGCCTCGATGCCCGATGTGTGAGAGCTGCCATGGCTCCCTGTGGACTGGCGTGAGAGGCGGTTATCCCTCTGGCTGCCCCCACTGCTCCCGCTGCCACGGGAGTTCTTGTCGCAGGGGTCCAGGTCCATGTCTAGCGTGTCACTGATGTAGGACTCCCGGTAGCGCTTCTTCTCTGGGGAAGAAAGAAGAGAGAAACCAGTGGGAACTTTATGCAAGACCAAAGGAAGGGCAGCAAAAATACTCAGTAAGTTCTGGGACTGGCACGGCCTCACAACTGAGGAACAACTCCTGCAGCTACTGAATAAATAGAGGGAGGACAGTTTTGTATTTTGTTTGCTCAACAGATACTGGGATGCCCAGCTGGTTGTAAAGGAATTAGTCATATTCGCAGTAAACCAGCATGTTCTGAATTAGAACAGGCAGGTAGAGGCAGTTATGATACAGAAAACAGCAGGTTCCACAGTGAAGAAAAGGTCAACTAAAAATAAACAAACCAACAAACAAAAAAGTGAGTGGCTTACTTAGCTAAGTTAAGTGCTCAATCTTTAAAACCAGATGCGTTGATTGATTCTTGAAATAGTCACACATGTGGAGTCAGCGAGGAACAGAATCCCCATAGCTGGTGTTTATTAATGATTTATTTTTTTCTCCCATGGCTTGTATGTGCTCAGGGTGGTCAAGAAATCCATGAGACTCTAAGAGACGTGCAACAACCTAGGGCCTTTTGCCCACAGGCACATGATCAGTGAGCTTTTCTACAGGTGACTTGCACATATCACCATTTCCACCTGCACAGCTCAAGGCCACTGTTGTTAACCCACTGAAAGAACCAAGCTAGATGAGACCAAGGGCTGCCTTGCCCTGTACACTGTTTCCATACAACCAGCAATCACCACTTCAGGGATTGATGTAAGCTCCTTAGAATTAGCTGAGATGAGTAAGAACCAGAAAAGTTTTTTCCTGAGATCTACCTGGAAGGAGTCAGCCTATGTCCTTGGACAAGAGGGCCAGCTACTGTTTGACTGCTACTGACCTTTAAGGTAACCATACAAGGCTTACAAACTTCAGAGAAAACGAAGTATCAGTGGAGAATACAGGGAACAGCAGTCAGGAAAGAAAGAGGAGAAAAAAGCATTTGGGTGAAGGCTAGAGGGAAGGGGACAAAATCATATGAAAGAAGGGCTATGCAATGCATTTAAAACAGTCACCAGGAGGAGAGAGGTAGGCTCAGAAGTTGTAGGAAACCCAACTTGCAGAGCTGGAAAATGAAAGAGGGTGAGCCGAGAGGTGATGAGGTGAATGAAGTTTGCCTGCAAGGAGACTAGGGAGTATTCTTTCATGTTCAAATCACCTTTCCTACAGAGAAATGACCCCATCAGAAAAGACAAATTCTGGGAACCCTGATCTGCTTTCAGGTTGTTTCTGTTACCTGCACCTCCTAGCTTTTAACTGTATGACACTTATAGACTAAATTGTGGGCAATGTTTAGTAAAGGGCACTAAAAACGTTAAGATGCAGACTCACAATTTGTGCTGCTGCTTGAACACAAGAAGATTTCATTCCAATGGAAAGCTTTTTATTTAAAATTATTTCCACTCAGAAGTATGCATCATATGTACAAATTGGGAGCACAGAGAGTAAGGATCTTCTTTTACTTAAAAGGAGATATTCCTCCTCTACTACTCACAAAGACACACACTTTCTGATCACAGTCCACAATGTGGGAGCCATAAACACTTCTCAGGAACAAACTCAAAACATATCTAACACCTTCTGTTTCTCTCACTGGGTCCCTGATAAGTCAGAAACACCTTTAATTAGATAGAGAGCAGCCACCAGGAAGCAACAGCAGAGCCTAACATGCCGTACTCTTCCCCTTACCAAACCCATATGGCTGTTCCTTAACATACCTTCAGCCTCCTCCAGTTTTTGGATCTGCTTCAACACGGGCTGAATATTCAGAAAGAGCCGGTGACTGTTGCTGAGTAGCTGCAGCAAATGCCTTGACCTGAAGGGGCAGCCTGTGTAGTAAACCAGTTTCCTTGCAGAGGGCAAGCCATCTGGCTGGATCTCGAATTTTTTCCCCTGCATATAGAGGAGAAATGCCGAGAAATGAGCAAGAGCATGTTTCCAGCCACACAGCTACCAGAGATAGCTGCGGTCTTGTGCATGCAAGTGACAGGACTTGTCATGGCAGCGCGGGCAGGCTGACAGCTTTGCCACATCCCAGGTTGACAGCCACTGCCAGATGGCCTCCATTCCGTCATACTCACCAGAAAGGCCAGCTTCCCAATGTGCGACCAGGGAAAGTCATAGAGGAGCTGGCGAACGTGATTCACCTCCTGCAACACATCAAACTCAGAGTGACACAGGGACTGGCAGGTACAGGGTGGAGTCAGCGATGTGCAAAGAATTTGCAAACAACCAAGAATTTGAGATATGTGCAGCCTGGTGTTCACAGGGGAGGCAGAGGAGCCACGGTGAGGGGGGAGGACAGGGGAGCTGGGCAGAGTTAATGCTACACCAGAAGGCTTTCACAGCAGTCTGTTACCTGATAGATGTGCATTCCTCTCAGGGTCAGGCCCAGGATAACTGTTGGTCGATCCTCCTTCTTATCCTAAAAGAATAGAAGAGCCTGGAGTCAAAGGTTAATCTACAAAGACCATGCCCTTGTTCTGGCACCTACTGCAGAAGAGGTAGCAGGACTTCTCATCAGGCAGATGCCATCAGCTCATTTGGTTTTTATTATGTTTGTAAAGAGCACCTTGCCTTGTTGACCCCTGAAATATCTACACCTAAAATCCCCTTGTGCTGGGAGACTCAGGCATTTCACCAGCACATGTCCTAGCTGCCCTGGACAGGGAATCCTGTAGCTTCAGTGATTTGAGAGCATGGACAATTACTGCTCTCAGAGGTACCTTGTTACCTCTCACACTGCCATGTGCTGTCTCTGCTGTCCCCACAAACATGCACCATTTTTGCTCTCCAGGTAACAGAGAGCTCAAAACAGAAGAGACACCCATCCCCCTCTCCTTGCCTCGGCACTGCTGTTCCCATCTAGGGACTTGGTAGATCTTAGGTGTCCCTTGGCTGGGGGTGTGTGTGTGTGGGGGGGGGGTAATCAATGCTTAAAGTTATAGGACTTTCCTTCTAATCTTTAATCTGTGTTTTGGGAGCAGGTGGTTTTACATGTTTGCATCTGGCAGCAATTCTGCCTAGCTTTTAGCTCATGCTGCATCTTGCTACGACACACTTGGTCTCTGATAAGATTCCTCTGCTTGAAGACTAAAAAAAAATTATAAACTAATTCTTTCAGCTTCTCCTAGCACAGCAAAATTAGGGAAGGGAAGACATGTTTTTGCTAGGAGGAGAAGGAGGAAGAAAATTTTGGGGTAAAAATTTATGGGCTCACAGAGTTCAAACTCAGCATCATAACCATCTCTCCTTATCTGTCTTGCAAGATGCAAGCCTTGTGCCATCACATTGCCTAATATTAGGCACAAGCAACAATCTAGGAATCTAAAACTGACATATAACTGAAAAAACATCAACCAGTCTGATACAGTTGAAGAATGAAGGGGATAAGAAAGTTGGAATGACTGTCACCTTTGGTTATTACATGACATTTGTGTGAAAGCTGGCTGACCTCTTGTCATTATTTCAATGAACTTCAACAAGAAAAAAAAAAAAAGGCTTCTCTCATTTCCCTGGTACAATTCTACCAACAGGCAGGGACAAAAATTAAGTTTTGCCATTCCTGTGGCCACTTTCTTGGCCACGAAACAAAACTAAATTCCAGCAATATCTGTATATTGGCAACGGATTTGTTTGTGGGGACAGGCCTCACTGGCTGAGCATTTTAGATTTGTTTGGCCTCTCTGAATCACAGGCAACCATCCCTCAGAAAAACAGAAAGAGAAAAATGCAATGGTGCACTCAATTAATGATGGGAGAGAAGTTCAAAATAAGAAGCTCTTTGTCTAACCTTCTGCAGTCTGTAGAAGTGGACTGGCACATCTTCCAGTAGGCAGGACTCTTTAATGAACTTTAGAACTGCTTCCTTAGTGCTCAGCCCTTGCTGTTCTCGGTGCATCTCTGGGGCATGTTTCAAGATGTAGTCGCTCCCCCTCTTTGCAATTATCTAAACCACAAAGAAAACAAACAGGTCAGCAACTCTTCAGCGATCCCCATGGGAGGCAGCTGTGAGCAACAGCAAAGCAGAGACTGGAAGTGGAGGAGGCTCATATATTCCCTCAAGACAGTCTGTGTTCACCTCTACCTCCCTGGAGGATAAGCATTTAAACCAGCCCAGATGACAGTGATGTCTCCAAACGGATCCTAGGTGGCAAAATTGTAACAGGCCAGGCCTACAGAGGTCAGGTCAGCTCTTCTCACTTTTAAGTATTGGAATTAGTTTTCCTAACTCTTGGCATGCATAAATGTTTATGGGCAGATAAGGAATACTGCTCTGCATGCCAACACAATCAGCAGCAACATCTCCAAACAGGGCAGAAATACGTTTTCCTTTTAAGACCTGAAACTACACATTAGGCTTATTTAGCATTTCCATTCTCAAAGGGATAGATAACACTATCTCAAGGTATTTTTTTATCTATTGGGAGTGGTTGGCAGGCACGTGGCTCTACTAAGCAGTACAAAAATCTGCACGGGGCCTTTTGCTCCTGCCCTGTGGGTGCCCAGTTCCCCTGTTTACCCACATGCTCTCTCCAGACAAGCCTACAGGGTGGCCCTGACCCCTCCCATGCCTGACTGGCCCCTTTCAGGCTGTGAGCAGCTGTGACAGATAAGAGGGACATTGGCTGAATTCACTCCACAACATACCCCACCACTGGGGACATTTAAAACTAGATTGCACCAGGTACCCGAGAATATCCTGCTGGAAACAACCCATCCTGGCTCAAAACAACTAGACCTCATCATCACCCAATTCCAGCTTCCATTTTATATTAAAACCCTTGTTTACTCTGTTTGGTAACACCTCTGCCCTCCTCTGCATGCCTTGACAGATTAGTTGCCCTCCCACAAGGAGGGCTGGCCTTGATGGGTGACAGCATCATTGCCATCAGCTGCACAACATCAGCAGAAAGAGACGTGCCAGCTGCACAGTTCAAAGCTGGGTGGGTCAGCCCAGGGCAGCACTGCCTCTCCTCACTTGCACGAGACTTGGGGCAGCCCTTGGCCAAATGATGTGAAGCACGTGTTGGAGGAAGTGATTGTGTTGGAGGAGATCTCTCACTATCTCCCCACAGGAGCCCAGGGGCAGGGAGAGAAGCGTCCCCACGCTTGCCAGATTTCAGTGCTTATAATGATGTAATAAATCACCCACGTACTTGCTTGGGGTTGTGGCTCAGCACAGGTGAGCCAGGCTTTGCCTTGGCCTTTGCAGTGTTTGCCAAATGAGCAATAGTCTGTGATAAGCCCTTTAACTGCCTCAGAAACAGCACTCACATGAGACTCACCTTTTCCAGCACTTTATTAGCTACCTCCTGACAGGCAACCCATAACAAGGAACTGACACGGGATGAGGGCCTGTTGTTTAGGACCAAAGGGGCATTTCTGCACAGCAAGGCAGGCAAGCCAGGATTTGTGCATAAAGAAGACCATCAGCCTTGCTTCCCCAAGACAACCCCTGTCACTGTTCTAAACCTTCTTCCCAAAGCAGGTGACAATGCTGTCTTTCAGGGGAGATGCAGCTTGTCTGGGACAAGCAGTGAACTAATAGAGCCTTAACCAGTTTGCCTTCATTTGACAACTAAATCAGCTCTTGGCTTTAAGTCTTGAAGGGCACAAGTCATGTGCACATGCTTATAAACAAACATGCAAACCCATTTCCAGGCCTTTCCCTTTCCTCTTACTGCAGTTCAGCCAGAGATTAATGACAAAGCAAGCACAAGAGGCACTGCACAGCAGTACTACCCCTTAGGGTTTGGATTTATTCATCCCTGAGGCGAGCATTACAGAGATGGGAACAAAGGACAATGGACTTGGCTTACAGGCCTGGAGGTTTTCTGGAGAGCTTAGGTTGTGCAGATCTTGCTGATGTACCGCTACACACACACAACCCTTTAAGCCATAGAAGAATCAAACAAAGACAGCTGCACTGTCAGAGTTATTCATGTAACACCAGCACATTCCCTCACCAAGGAAGGATGTAGCACCCATCTCACTGATGAGTGAGTCCACAAAGAACAGGCACCTACCTCCAGTGGAAAGACAGGATATATCTCCCGAGGGAAATTCAGGATGATACTCTACCCTGCTGCCTGATCATTGCATTGGGAGTTGGGGAAGTTGCATGGCTGCATTAGGTACCACTGTGACACAGCTCCCGCTGTGTGTACAATCTGTTGACAAAAATATTCCCACCAAACTTACCCATTGTGGGAAATAAGCCTGAGGTTCAAAATATTTGCCAGCATGGACCTTCTCTCTGTAGTTTCCCAAGTCTGCCTGTAAGCTGTAGGCAGCCAGCAAGAAGTAGATTTCTTCTTTGTGATTGCAACGAGACATAAGCACTTGCTCTTTGAGATGGCAGTAGTAGAGCTGCCGAGCCACTTTATCGCTGCAAAACACAAAGGCAAATGTACCTGAAGAAGAAAGTTCAGATAAGGCCCCTCAAAAACATCATCCTGCTGAGAAGAGGGATTAAACTTTGACATGTCTGCTGTGTGCCAATGCCACCCTGATACCAATTATGTGTGCGTAGGGAGCACCAAACCAAGATCAAGGTCTTCTCCCACTAAGTGTTGTACAAACATGGGAAACAGTAGCTTCTACCTTGAGGAGCATGAGATCTAAGAAGTTAGGGCAGAAGGCAGATGAAAGAAAAATCACGCCACACCTGTTTTGGAGACTGACTACAATCAAGCACTTCTGTTTCTCTGAAAAACCTGTAGGAGCCAAGAGAGTCAACTCCTTTGAATTCCCAGTCCTGTTTCTTGCACACCTGTCCTCCTTTCCCCTCTAAACCTGGCACTGTTTTATTATTTCATCTTGCCTTAGGCTCAAGGTACTTTTCAGCAGCTAATTCCCTGCAAGGTAGATCAGAAGGTAGAGGAGCCTTGGGCTTGCTTTTGTCTTCTTCCTCAAGCTGCTAAATAGGGATGGTCTGATAAGGCATAATAACTATGGTGCAGCACTGATAACCCACACATCCCCTGCCCTCAGAGCTCATGGGAAGCAGGCTGCTGACATGTACATATAGACGGAGGTGCTGGACACTACAGACTGCTTGTAAAAGTGTGTGTGTATAGTTTGAAGGGTCCAGGTAACTACCTCTGCATGACTTCACACACCTCTCAAATTAAACTACTAGTGCAAGAGAAAGATGCTTGTCATGCTGAAGGACATGTACATCAGGAGCAGAAGAACGATATGTAATCTCCCTTTGTACATAAGAGCAAAATAAAATAAGAAGCACTTATCAGCCAAATAGACTCCAGAAGAAAGACTCCCCTGTGTCCAAAAAAGAAGGACTATGGAGAGAGAAAACACAGAAAACCGCAAGCTTTGTTCAAGATGAGAACAAATGCCAAAAAATTTGGTAAAGATTTTAATCCACCTAAATGATCCCAGTTCTTGGCTTGCCCTGGGGTCAGAGCCACACCAGAAGTGCTGATGCAAATTAACTCTGTCAGTTGTTAATTTTTAACTACCTCATCCTTTGTTCTGTACCGTGGATGAGGGTGGTGCTGTTTTGAGTGCAGCCCATATTCCATGTGAATGGACTCCAAATGCAAAACTCTCTAACTTATGAAGTAATTTCTTTTGTCCAGTTACAAAAGTCCATTTCCAGGAGTAGACTGCACAGAGCGCTGCTCATACACAAAAAGCAGATCCAAAATTGTTAACAAGTGCTTTAGAGTATAAGCAGCTATTCTTGGTATATTCATCTGATGCTTTTCATACAACCAAAAGACACAAGCAAAAGAGTGCTAATCATGTTTTGATAATGTCGTCATTCAACCTGCTCTCTAAACACAGATGGAAAAGCAGTCACAATTTTCCTAGGGATATGGAGCATGATTCAGGCAGAAAACATTCATAGCTGGGTGAGGAAGTCTGCAAAGGTCTTAGAAAAAAAAATTCTTAAACAGATTTTTTAAGCTTATTTCTGTGAGCTCACAGAGATGAGGTTAACAAAGAAACATTATTTTTCTTGCCTTTTAAGAACACAATGAATAATTCAAAACACAGTAGCTACCGCAGAAGGGAACTTACCCTATTACTCTTCCATTTTCTACGTAGTATTGTACTCTAAAGAATGCAACAAAAGGAGGGCTGAATTTCTCTGTTCCCTAGAGCAAAGACAGAAGACAAGTTAAATTATGAACAGCATCCAAAATTCCTGTTCCCCTGTCTGGTAATGTTCTCTTTACCCAAGCTCACTCCCCACACTGCCTTTCATTTTCTACTCTTCGCTCTTGGCAAGTTCTAGGAGGGGAATCTGTCTGTCTTGTAGGCTCACAACAATGAGGCACCACAAAACATTCAGACAGGCTGAATCACAAAATATCCAATGAAGAGAAGATGATTTTTGGATAGGAGAGATGAGTCCCAGTGTAGCCTGGGGACACCCAGCCCAGAGTTACCTAGCTCAGCACCTGGCAGCACCAGACGCACTAGTGCTGAACACAGCAAGTCTGACACGGCCTCCCTCAAAGCACCAGGCAAGGCAGCAGGGCAGCGTGCCATGCTGGCATGGCTGTGGCGTTTCCAGGGCACACCTAGGAGTAACCAGCCATCCCCGTGCTGCACCACATCACTTATCAAGGACACATGCGCTGCCGTGTTCAGCACTGACTGCCTGAGGCTGAGGCACACCAGCCTGATATCAACTCTGCGCCTTTTGTTTGGCAGGGCTAGTGTTTAGTTATTCACATGTTCCTGCAGCCACAGACCAGAAGGCAATGCTGATGTCTGCTTTGCACTGGGGATGTCTGTTAGAAGAAAGCCAGCAAGAGTTCTGAGGTTTTAACTACAGCCTATCTTGCAGACTTGTTTAAAAAAGAAGGGGGAAAAAAAGGAATTAAAAAAAGGGGAAAATAAAAAGAGGAACATCTTACTACGTCATTATTTCATCTTTCCTACTTTGCCAGTTGACAGCTCACACAGATAACTTTGCTCCCACAGGCAGTTCCAAGGCTTTGCTGGTTGGACCCATTTCCCTGTGACAAGGTTCATGGCATGCTCGGCACACCAGATGCAGACAGCTTCCTGATCTTCATGCAAATACTTCTACTTTATTTCTGGAACTTGTTTATAGTCACCCTATTTTATCAGCTGGACTGGGCTTTCCACTTGAAACCTCTTCATAGGACTTAATTCCTTGTCAACTAACCCAGTCTGATAGGGTAACTCCTCTCAGACTGCAGTACTGCCAAGAGTAAGTCATTCAGTCTTTTATGATTCACATCACACCAGAGGTTCAACACTTATCCTGACTTGGAAAGCACTGCAAGAATCCAGCCACAAAGCAATCACAAAGCATATCCCATCCCAAGGTGACCAAAGCCAACTGTCTCTGCTGGAAGGATGGCCCTCTGCACGACTGCAGCTGTCTTTGAAGTAACTATCGTTCATTTGGGAAAAGCAGAGCACTTGTTTGGGGATAAGAGAGATCCCCAAGCCTCACTAGTCATCTACAAATTTCTCTAAGCAGCAGAAATGGCAAGTGTGCCTACTCTGCAGAAGAAAACCCTTATGGAAGATGGAAAAGGTCATAATGAGCCAATTAAGATATCTGAATCCAACTGCCTGCTATACTTTGTTCTAGACCATGCCTCCTCTAATAATGACATACACAAACAGGCATTATGACGTCTTAATGACCAGCACTAAACAATTACATAGGCTTGTCTTTATTTCATGAAGCTTTTCCCTCCCTTGACAGGGCTGGCTAACATTAAAGAACTGGGACTCTTCTCAAACAAAATATCCTTTTTCTTCCTCCACAGTCCTCTTACATGTACTCTGGAAGAGTCACAGCTCCAGTCATCTCCCTTTTATCAGGTTCAAGTCACAACAGGTCATTTAAGGCTGTTTTGCTTAAGGATAACAGTGAGGTCCCAAGACTAAGTTCCAGACTAAATTCAAATTGAAAATTGACCAACTGACCTTCTCCACTTCTGTAGCAGCTAAGCAGCAACCATGTGGTTACTATTGCTCAGGTAAAGTTGTTTAAGGGACTGTTTCAACTCTTTTAATTAATTTTACAGCTGTGCACAAGTCACTGCATATTGCTACTGAAAAGTATTCTGCAGACCATCTTCAAGAAATGCTTTATGGTCCTTAGTTTAAGAGTTTTCATTTCACTCTGCAGTCCAATAAAAAAGCAGCAGCCTCCAAAATAAAACACCCTTCTTACTTTGGTGGTCTCTTTCTTCCACTCCTTTGAAAAGTATTTGCTAAGCTTCTGCTCCAGGTCTATAAAAACATATTCATTATCTGAAAGATAGGAGGAAAGGGATTTCATGTTAAATAATTAGAAATTTTTATTCATTAAATATTTAGATGACTCTACAAGTTATTTCCAAACAATACATTTTAAAACACAGCTGACCAGGGACTAAGACAGGGCAGGAAAAAGAGAGTATTCTTAAGTACATACGCTACTCCAGACAGTATGGAAGGAAGGTCAGTCATGCCTTGATTCAGGAGATGCTGAGCTAAAATTTCCCAAGCACCTTGGCCAGAAATACAAAATTCTTACTTTATAATTCAGAAACCATTTGCAAAAGGAAGACATCATCTTACCAAGCTAACTGTGCTGTCAGTTTAGCAGGTTCATTTTTTTATTATTATTAAACAAGTAAATCCTACCCAAACTTCCTATTCTGCCATCATGTAGCACCATGGTCCAACATGGCATAAGTAATCGAACAGAGTGGGGTTTGACAGGTTTCATCTGCTACATGTGAATTGGATCCTCTGAGAGGGTAAGAAATAGGAGGACCAAAGGAAATGCCCTTCTCAGGAGGTCTGGTTTCTTCTGCTCACACCCAACTTCTTTCATATGGAAAAAAGATGAATGAAAGGAAGAGAAACCTGGCCTCTCTCAAAAGACCAAAGGACCAGGGCTTGCTCTCCACCATAGTGAGGGTGAACAAGACAGCCTGAATGGCACATCACCTTGAAAAAGCTTTGTGCTGCTTTCAAAGGTGATGTTTTGTAACACTGCTTCCCAATTATCAAATACAAACAACTCAGCCAGTGAGTAATTTTTTTCCTGGGTCTTCAAGTCTCTTAAAAAAAAAAAAAGGAGAAAAGACCTGATGGGTGTTTCAGGCTTCAGCAGCAATGCCAGCTGAGCACATTCACCTGACAAGTCCCTCTACTCTTTGATCTTGCCCAGGACACTGTTTTGACAGGTGACTTAAGTGCCAAGATGAAGAGCTTGTTCCTTAAACATGAAAGGTGAAGGGGGGAAAAAAAAAAAAAGAAAAAAGCCCTTCACTAAACAATCTGCCCCTGAATACCAGCCCAAACTTCCAAGCTTTGGCTTTTGCTTTCTGATGTCACACAGAAAAAAAAAAAAAAGGAAAAAAAAAAAAGATGACAATAGAGGTGACAATTTTGAACATTTTCTAATGTAGATTTACAGCTGGATGAGAGTCTATACTCATGTGTGTATGGCAGATGCAGAACTGGCAGCAGCCAGTGTCATAGCAGGTGTTGAAGGGGGCTCTGAGCTACCTTGCAGCCACCTCCCAAAGCATTCCAGATTCTTACAGGAGCAGATACAACAAATATATTCTTTGCTACCTTTCAAAAAACAAACAAGCAAAACAACCCCCTATTGGCAACTCCTTCAGCTCCCACCTCAAAGGAAGAAAGTCAGTGCTATCCCAAATTAGTCCACATCCCACCCTAATTGGAAACCTTGTGTAAAATACAGTAACACTGGATATGAAGAAGACAATCCCCAAAAGAATCCTGTTTCCATCTATATCCTCTTTCCTGCATTGTCCTAATTGCAGTTGTAATTTTAATATAATTACACTTCTGTTACAGAAACAGCACAGCATTCAACAGCACTGCTGAAACTGTAAAGAATTTCTGAAAGTGTTGGTGGTGAGAATTTAAGTTCTGTAGCACACAAGGTGATATAAAAGTTGTTTGGCTATTTGGACAAGGAGAGGAAGAGGTTTCATCATCACAGAGATTGCATCTTGTACCTGCCTCTTCACATATACCTGTAAGACAGGGTGGCAGGGGGACTACGCTGGCCCCAGCCCTTGCTTCTCTAAGTTCATTAAGATCAGATAACGCTGCCTTGAAGAGGCTGGTAGAAGTCCTAGTCAGCGAGAGAGGAGGGTTTGTTCATCTGTTAGCCTTGTTTCTGTCCCTTGTCAGCCGCCAAGCTGGTAAGCATCTCTCTGTAAAGCTTTTATTAAAAAGTAAGTAAAACTCATTTAGGAAGCAATTCCACAGCAAGTGACAGGAGTGGGATAACATGTGCATGGCCCCCAGTCCCTCCCTGGGCTCTGGCAGCCCCAGGGTAGGGCATTTGCTCCACTACAGTCTCCCACACCAGGCACAGCATTGCTCCTGATGGCACAGAAGTGCTGGGTAAAGCCTGTATTGACTCTGCCAGCACCGTGGTGTTTAGCTGCCATTTGTAAAGAGGGTAGGGAACCTGCATGGCTGTAACAAGTTGAGGGGTCAGTTTTCCTTTCTCACTCAGGAATGATCCCATGCACAGAGGTGTTTAGAGAAACAGGTGAATTACTCCTCAGCCAGAAGAGAAAGATAGCAATAGCAAGAGGAGTGGCATACCCTGAACCGTCCCATCACACCTGAATACTAGGTCAGAAAGAGGAAAAGTATGACAGAACAGTTACACTGTAATGAAGTCATTTGTTACACACACCCTGAGGGCCCAGATGCCAAGCCTGAGGACTCCAGGTTATTATTAGGCTTACTGAGAGCTGCACACAGACCACAAGAATAAGCCAGGCTGCAGGAGGACACCCCAATCTATCAGCTCTCCCTGGGGGTTCCACTCCTCTCCAGCCCAGTCCAGCATCCTCCCTCCCATGCAAGAATGCAGCACTGCATTCCTGTCTTAATGAAGCTAATATTGCTGGAATGTCAACCTGCAGTGTAAGCCTCCATCTACAAAAACAAAGAGATATTTCCCTCTGCAGCCCAACTGGTTTGTGGGTTTTGGGTTTTATTTTTTGTTGTTTTTTTTAACTTGAATTGGATTAGTGATGAAACTTAAGAGATCTTTTGACAGAGGCTAAAACTGTGTCTGGTTTGAAAACAAGCATCTCTAACAGATATGAGGGCACCAAACTGCAGCACCTCTGAACAGTGCTGTAAAGGACAGTATAGAAATGCACAGATGGCCACCTTTCCAGGGAAGAATACGTTTGATCTGTGGATCCAAGCAGGGCTGGATACTCAGCAGGTGCACACTGCCATTGCTTCACTGGCCTCGGCTGAAGGACAACTGAAAGGTACTAAGAAGCATGCACACATGCAAATACACACTCATCCACCTGCAGACACCGCGTTCATGAATTTCATCTCAGCACTGTCAGTGATCTTATGAAATACATCAGCTTCTCTTAAAAGGTTCCCTCATGTATATGTGTACAGATACCAGACCTGGCACGACACACCAGCGCACTGCACTGCAACCCCAAGAAATGCCTTTGGACAGCCAGCTAGTCAGCAGTAATGCAATTTACACATTTCTCCCTATTTCAGCTTTTAAGAGCTCTCAAATGAAATTGAAAGTTTATGCTGTAAAAATCACGCTTCAAATTAAGGAGTTACCAGAAATGCAAACATTCACCGCTCCTACTCTGCAAAATTAGCTTAGAGCATTTGCATATTTGAGAAAATATAGGACGCGCATTGTTGCAGAAAAATAATGGGCCAGGTCTCCAGTCAGAAAAAAAAGTGACACAGTTCCAGTGAGTGATGTAGGTTTACAATAGGCATTAAAATGGGAATAGAAAATGATGGCTGTAATACAGTGTCAAATCAGTTCTGAGTCATTGTTGCTCTAAAAGCCATTATTTTGCATTAACCAGTTCCTCCTCGTCTCACTTTTTATGAAGGGTAAGTTCTCTGCATAAAAGCTAAGTAATGTAAGTAAAATGTTCTCCTGTGCCCATTTTGGCTAGAAGCACTGAGAAATTCCACAGAGGTGTCCTACCAAGAGAAGAGCTTAGGCCCCGTAGGCAGCCAGGAACATCCCATTAAGTAATTTGGTTGCATCAAGTATATTTTAGTAATACAACTAGACAGTAAAAAAGAATAGGATTCAAATAAAATATGAATGTAGTGCAAACCCGAACTTCTACATAGCAAACATTTTCTGCCTTAGAAGTGAAGGGAAAAAGTTATCCTTAACTTCTCCCAGACACTGCAAAAAGTCTCATAGTAACACCACTATGTCCCTTGAGGTGCAACTGGTGGATGGAGGTGTTAGGGGAGAGCTAAAGTTTAAACCCTCCCCCTCACTTAAAAAAAAAAAATACCTCATGTTGTAGAGCTCACATAACCTGTTTAGCTTCCCTGAATACCAGCATGCCTTTTTTTTTTTTTTTTTTTTAGTGAAGAGCTGGCTACACGCTCCTTTTGCATGTAGAGCTCCCCAAGCTTCCAAGTGCTAGTGGTCTTGGAACACCACTATCCACATGGCATCTGCTCCCACCACCTCTACACAACTTCTGGATGCTCCTGGTGTTACCTTTCAAGCCAACAGAAAGAAACGTCGTCTACCCTCCAGTACCTGGTTGATTAGTTTACAACGGGGTCTAAAAGAACTTCTTACAGATAACCTTGTGGTTTTAGCTTTAGCTGGAAAGCACATGTAAACCAAGTGAAGAAGAGAAGAATCTCAACAGAGGCTGGGAGTAAAGCAAGAGAGGTCCTGGCTGAGGTCTCTTTACCTGGGATGGACACAAGGCACAAGGATGTTATTATGAGAGGAGACAATTCCAAGAAGCCTGAGGTCCTGTGGCTGTTAGAACTGCTGAGGTCTGAACACTGAGATAAAGGCTCAGTCATTCCTGGTAATGGATAGGAGGAATTTTATGTTGGCATCTTACAGTTAGTAACAAGGCAAGCCCAGGCACAGATCTTTAGACTTTGGCAGCATCATGAGTGATTCTTCTGCACAAGAACTGCAGAACCATTCTAGCACCGCTCATCCAGGAGCAAACAAACTCCTTGCAATTCTCAGGCAGGAGAGCCCTTGGCTGGATGCTGTACTGATGCTGAAGGAGAAACAATTTACAGCAGGTACAGGCAAAAAAATGCCTTCATAGAAAGAGACTGCATAAGTACTTTAAAGAAGTACTATATACTCTTTGAACACCTGAATCCCTGCAATTCCCTTTAGGTGGTACATTTCTGTACATGTTTTTCTTATCTTGCATTTAACTCATTTGAGGTGTTAAAGTCACTATAATAGAGTTGTACCTTAGGTTAGAATACAGAAGAAATTCATGAAGGAGATGCAACTATCCAAATAGATTTAAGAGGACAGGCAGAAGCAGGGATAATGGGGAAGGACTGGTGTGTAGAAATCATCAGAAGGTATTTTGGAGACTTTCTTTTGTTATCTGTCTCTTAAGAGACCCTTTGTTGTAAGAGACATCCACGTAATATAAAAATAATATGGTAGAATATTCTGTCCATGAACTTCAGTACTGGAGGATACACAGATGCCAGAAGAATTAACTGGAGACAGAGTGGTCTTGGCAGAGTTAATCACTGAGCTCCTTGCTAAGCTGTGCTGGGTGTGCTGGGAAGCATGGGCCTGGCAAGGTGAACAGCCATAGCTGTAATAACCAAAGAATGATCCTTGAGGCAGGGGAGCTGAAGCAAAGGGATTTGGTTTTGTTAGAAAGCCAGCATGACAAACCACTAAGAGGGCATGGAGAGACAGCAGCAGGGTATAGGAGCTGCAGTCTTGCTCCTTCCTAGCTGAAGGTTTCCGTCTGCTTGGGTCAAGCAAGGTTTGCTCCTAGAAAGGAAAAGCCCAAGATTCAGGATCGAAGGATCTGTGTTATAACTACAAAGGAGGCCTGGCTGTTCTTTGTCTGCTGACAATCAGTTTTGTTTTAGAAGACTGAATGTGTTGCTGCACACACTTTCTGATAACAAGAGGGAAACCTCCCGCAGGGCACTAGATAAGGTTGACCCCTCAGGAGGATTTGCCACATAAGACACAGCTGCTGATGCCTATGGAGCCAGATTGAGTCTGGCAGGGTCGCAGGGTCTTTCACTGAGTAAACTACAAGGAAAAAATGCACTTCAGCAACAGCAGCATGCAAGGTATAGCCTGCCTGACAATCTGTGACAAAACTAGAAGAGCAACATGTCCCAGGGTTTGTGCCAGTGTGGCCTCTCATTATTGGACGCTCCTGAACTTTATATTCAAAGTGATCAACTTCTTATAGACAAACGTGGGGTTTTTTCCCCCACCAAATATATTTGGTTGAAGTGGTTTTTCTCTTGAGAATAAAAAAAAGTTTAAGAGCAGAAGGGGCTAAAATATGCTATCCTGCCACCATTACTGCGTCCTTTAATCCTGAACCTTGCCCTCAGCATCTGCAACAGTCAGAACAGAAGGCAGAAAAATTTAGGCAATGAATTCTGGAAAACATGCTCCATGACCTAGAACTCAGATCTTACAGCATTCATGGTTTGCAGTTTGCATGGTGCTTTGTGGTGCTATTTTCATTTTTGCCACACTTAGGGGTTAAACTTCTGTTCATGATTAAGGACCCCAACCTCTCCCCCTCACACACATACTTACTATGAGACCAAGTGAGCATTAGTGTATCTGTACAACGTCTGCAGGTCAAATGGGCTCCTAATCCAGATAATCCATGCAGTGTGATTGGCTACAGTGCTGTAGAAATCCTTTAATTTTCATTCTCTTGCTACTGCTGACAGTCAGGGTTTTGTTGACAAATTAGCAGGAAAGTAATAGATGCAGGGGGATTAGAATACCTAGTTTTGCATGTGGCAGCATCAGACTCCCAAAAATAAATACACATTAAGAAGTCAGGAAATATATAATTATCAAAACAGGGCAGCTATTTTTTGAAAAAATGATGTCCTAGAGCTGCAGCATAGAGATGAAAGCATGACTTTGTTCTCAAATGTAGATGATTCCTCTCCATTTTTTGGACATCTAACCCAGCCTTTCCTCACAGACCAGCCCCATGCCTCCCCTTCATAGACTCCATGGGATGTACACTGACTTGCTCCACAACCAAGGCAGCTGACTTAAGCACCCCCAAGACAACCCTGGGCAATGCAAAAACCTACACAAGGCCTCCCCACAACCTGACCTGAGCGCTTCCCTCTCTTGAGGTGATAGCTTGTTATGAAGCCAAAAATCCCTGAAGAGCAGGTGATGCCTTAAAGGCTACTTCCAAATGCCAGACTCAGAGTGCTACCTTTGCTACAGAAGCAAGACCTTAGACACCATGGGCAGCAGGGGAGATGATCACCAGTCTGTTGGCCAAAACAAGATGGGGGGAGGAAACCAAGTTGTGGAACAGAAAAAGTATTTCCTCTGCTACAGCTCTACAGTAATAAACCTGGAGCTATTCTAAAAACAAAAGAAAGAAAACCTTAAACTCCACCCCCTACCAGACTCCAGGCAACAGCTTGTTGGACTTGGATAGACTAAAGCTGTGGACCAGAGAAAGCAGTAAACTGAGTAGGTTTGCTCCCTCTCCCAAGAGCTTGCTGCAGCCTTCCTGATGGCTATGGCCATTCAGGCTGAGAAACTCACTACTGACACTTGTCTGTCATCTGGCCCCAACAGTTTCTTAAACAGCGCACAAATAAAAACAAAATCTTCTTATCCAAAATTCTGGCACCTGCCTGGGTGGCAGAGGGAGATGGCCATCAGGAGGATCCAGGGTGAGCATGAGAAGCCTTCAATTAAGCAGCTTTACAAACTGAGCTACAGCAAGCAGGAGTGAGGAACAGTGAGGAAAGCAAAACCAAAAAAAAAAAAAAAACCAGATTAATTCAGACATATGGGCTCCTGCAACTCTTTTCCTTTACTTTTGTGTAGTGAAAGGATAGTTTCCATTTAAAGCTATGGACAATATCCTTTAAGGTATAGTCAGTAAAGCTTTATTATGCTATTTGGGATGGAGTGGTTACACTGTATTTCCAACAGACCGAAAGGGATCTGCCACAATAAGGTATTTTGGGGTCAGAGTCCACTGCGTTTCACAAGGTGAATGGAAACTGCACCACATGACAGTTTGGAGGGAAGGAAAAAGCAGGGTACAGAAAATATGAAGTAAAAAAACATGCAAAGGGAGGGAAAAAGTGAAAGAAACAGGAAGAACAGGAGAAGAGCACCTAATTCAAAGGAAATAGGCATGAAATTGCCCTGTCTTACAGGAGAGGACAGGAGTTCCAATTTCAGCCAAGATGTCCTCCAAGTGGAATAGGCAAAAACTGGTGTTAAAAACATGAGGCAAAGGGAAGGACTCAGAAATACAGTTGCTTGTGAAGAAAAGTTAAAAGCATTCAGGTGTTCCTCACACTAAAAAAAAAAAACAAAACTGCACTGGTTTAAAAGCACAGGTATATTCATTAGCTACTGGTTTAGTGATTTTGATGGAATCTCTTGGAGACTCTCCTTAGGAGATAAAAAGCTTATGCTGGTCTCAGTTTGACTGCTATATTCAAAAAAGCCCAGAAATTCTTAAGAGAACGAGAGCAGAAAGGAAATGAGAGAAACTTAAAAAGTGCCTATTTTATCCCACATATCTGTAAGGGTGCAAAAGAAACCTTATTTAGAAGCACTCATAAAAGACTACTCTCATTTCAATGAAATATCTAGAATTACAGTAGTAAATTACACACTTGAGAAAATTTTTGGAGGAGAGAAAAGTCTTTCAGTGCTTTTGAAAATGTGGGGAGGCAGGCTAAGCAGGACATCAGATCCATTTCTAATTACTAAGAGTTGGAGGGGTGCCAGTGCTCACAGCATCCTAGAAATGTAATCTCTCATATCAGTTTGCTCCTTTAAGGCATCATCTTAACACAATTTCCTGGTCAATACTAAGCTGTAGGACCAAGCAGACTCGCCTTTAACCTACAGACTAAGAAGTTTTGTATTTCCCATGTGGTATTTCAAAACCCAAGGTCTCCCACATGTGCATTCAGTCCCCTAAAATCATTTGAGTTTCCTCCCCAGTGCTACATTCTTCGGGTGTGGCTTCAGAAGATAAGTAACACTTTCAGTTCCAAAGCCCTTTTTAAAACTCACCTCTTGTTCAATACTTACAGCATTATATATAGTGAAAAATATGTTGATTAGCAACTCCTGCTACAGGAGAGAAAGCCCCATAAAGAGGTGGAACCTAAGAACAAAGGTAGAGAACAAAAGCCCCCCCCCTTCTCCCAATTTGTCTGCCCACATACCAAAGATCAAAAGAGCTCTGGGAAGCTTGTGCATAATCTACATACTTTGTGACCTTATTACAATCAATTCCCCTGCAGGCATGGCCGCTGTGTATGTATGCACACACTGTAAATACACAAGCGAGCCTGTGGATGTTTGCCAAGTCACTTGCTTGTGCACTGAGTTTGCTTACTTTTAACAATGCTGAGGCCAAAGAAGTGAGGCTCTTTAATCTTGACTACATCACAAACTTGCTGAAAGAGCTCCTGTCCAGTGGCTTTGACCTGAAAGACACAACAAATTCAACATTAGAGATGGCTCGTGCACCTGGATAGAGCAACTCTTCTTTACGTTGGCCAATACATTTTTGGGTACCACAGCAAAAAACCCAAATACAGCCACCCCACAGAACATGCTTTTTTTCAGTATTATTACAGAATAATAATCAGTAATAACTACAGAAATGAAAATAGTGCTCTCTTGCAGATTTTGTTTTGAGAGGTTAAGAGAAAAAAAAATTGAAAACTTTCATTCAGATCTAGAAACAAAAGTACACAAAGAAACACAAGACTGTGGTTTCAGATGAAATAGCTCATAGGTCAGAGACGAGGTTGCTCTGTAACCCACGCAGAAGAGCTTGTTCTGTCTCCTGCTGACTTCTGGTTACACAGTCATTAACATCTTCATCTTCTGCTGCTGTCACCAACAGCCTTTAAGCCCTTGCCCACGTCCATGCACATTGAGACCTTCCAATACCCCTGCCTCCCGTAATGCTGTGCATGCACTGAGGAAGTGCTGGGAAAGCAGAGCTGCCAGCACACGGTCCCACAGGGGACCAGAGGCTGGGCAGTATTTGACACTATGGCACAGGCCATGGGAGCGCCACGGCACTGCAGCATGGCTACTGAGTAAATTTGCTAGCAGGGCTGCTAGGAGCACAGGCTCCCCCAGAAAGAGTGAGATTCTGGTTAACTGCATGTGCAGACCTGGATATGTACTGTGACTGGAAGGTTCCCCCACTGAACATCCCCCCATCTCTAGCCTCATATCTTCCTGACCCACTGCACCAACCCAGAAGCACTGAAAATCCACAGGCACAAAGAGAAACCCCCTAACCCACAGAGGCCTAGGGGAAAGAGCTCTGAGCAAGAGCAGATGGGGAGAGCAGAACAGTGCTGACAACCTCAGCTGAGGCCAGGGTGCAGCCAGTTGCAGCTGCAAAATGGGCCTGGACCTCAGTTTCATCACCCACTGCTAGATGATGCTGATCAGCAGCAGCAGGAGCAGCCATCCTGAGGGGTATACCTTCAGAGAAACAAAGATGACAGGGCAGAAGCTGACTGCTTAACTCTCCTACAAACCAATCACCATCCTAATTCTTCAAACTCTCTTAGGGTAGGTGTGCCGCACTCCCCAGAAACTGGCTTGCGCTCCCCTCCCTGCCCCAAGATGTACCATGTCACTAGACACGGACAATGGGAAAGGAGGTCATTTAAGTACTCATTTTCTTCTACTTGACAAGGCACCACTAGCCAGACACTCACTACTGTTTTATCAGGAGCTTTGAAGCCTGCACTACACCAGTGCAAACACCTGTGTGCTTTGTGAAGGGAGGAGGTAGGGCAGAGTTCCAATAAGACCCAAACCCACATCTGGATCTTATCACAACTCTCCGCATGAGACTGCATCCTTACAGTCTCACTCCTAAATGCAGTATTTGCTCAGCCACCTAGAACACACACCTGGAAGGGAAAGTTAGGCACAGATCACTCTCCTTTCCCAAGGAAGCAAGGTCTGAGCGTGTTCTTCTACCTGGGAAGGACTTGCTAAGAAAGACGTGACCTACCTCTAGCCAGAATGGTTATGGGCATACAAGAGTCACTGGCAGCACAGGACTCTCTCTCTAAATGCTATATGATGAGATGAACTTTCTAAGTGGCATGCTTTCACACCTAAGGGAAGAGAACCCTGCTTTATGATACTTAGTTCTAGGGAATGAGCACTTCAATGTTTTGTCACACTCAGCTCTAAACAGTGATTTAAGCATTCTTGCATAGCAGGTATGTGACTACCACGTTGTTTATTCTCCTCTTGGCACTTGCTTTCTGTATCAAGTTTTACTCCCAGCCTTCAAGGCTATGCAATACCAATTACATTTGCAATTGCTGTTCCCTCCTCCTGCTTTTCCCTCTGCTCAAAGCAACTAAGATTTCCCTTTGCATTTTTCATCTGGACGCTTCTCTTTGGACTTTGCTCATTTGCATGGGATTCCTGTGCCAGTCTCCATCCCAGAAAAACCATGAATCATTCCTTCCACTGATACTCAGCTTTGCCCCATGTCAAACTGCAGGGCTTCTTTACACATAAAATTTAGTCCAAAGTGAAGTCAAGTCCAAGTTTACAGAAGGCAACTGCCACTCCAATGTCATTCTGTATACAAATATTCATGTGCATTAGTTATCTATCTCTATTGATCAACAGGTTCAAAAGTGCTGATGAGATAAGCCACAATGCTGTCAGACAAACAAAGCTGAACAAATTGGATACCAGTACAAGATCTTTGGTACAACCGATACAACTTTTGGTTGCACCATTCTCGCTCACAGCCTGCTCAAGCTCCCTGGTGCACACATGCCATCTCTCCACTGGGGTTGCCTGGAACAAGGCAGACTGCTTTTCTCTGTGCTCTGATGTTCATTCTCCTAAGCAGAAATCTCTCGCTTTGCCTTGCCATCCTCAGGGCAGCTGGTCAGCTGTAACACCCACTACTGGGTGTCCACTAAAGCCACTGCTCTGCCTCTCCTCATGTTCACAGTTAGTCCCATGAAGACAGTTTTCCTCCTCACCATCCCCTCAGATTCACTGTGCTTTCAGAAAGGTGGATGCCAAAGTTAATTAAGAGATACTCGATTTAGAAGGAAGAGAATTTAAAATGGCTCCTGCTCTTCTCTCTACAACAGCACTATCTGTGAAGGGCATAAGACAAATTCATTTTAAAGAGCAGGCTTCAGACTGTATGTGACCACATAAAACACATAGGTAAACTCTTATCTGGAAGGGTGGAATTTATATGGCACAGGAGAGAGAGGCATTACCTGCATAAACACTGTGCTTATCACTGGAAGGATCTATAATTTATTCTGCTGGGAGGATAACCATTCCTACCTACCTCACTGAGCTGCAAGCTTGTTTAGTATTTGCATTCCACACTGAAGAGGTTAAAAGGCTTTGGAAATCTTTAGTAGTGGCATTATTATTCTAATAAATGCACAAAGTATCATCTGTGGTTGAGCTAATTAAATTTGGGTTCTACCAACATCACTAGAAAATTGCCTTGATGTTTCTTTAAAAAAGAAAGATCTCTCCAGCTGTGAAATCTTAATTTTTGTTGTTGTTTTGAAGGGGTGTTGCGGTAAAGTCAAAAGCCAAATGAAAAGCCTTTTTTGGTGACTTGCCCAGCTGTAACAGGTCATGTTTCACTCTCTATGCAATTAGGACACAACTGTGTGTTGAGGTCTCATGTTTTGGCCCAGATAGCTATTCCCTTTCACATTCAGGCATCTCCAAGTACACACTTCCCCAACTTCCCAGCCACAAAAGAAAAGGACAGCAGAAACGATGATGGTGCATGTCTTTAAAAAGGAATACAAAGGGGTGCTGTGGTAGGGACACCTCTGTGGGACAAAATGGTGATGCTCAAAGCACCCCAGCTCTTTGGAGGGGTAGGTACTCAATGCAAAAGACCATTTCTTACGCTTATTAAATATCTTGGCGGGATTAAAAAAGACATGTAGATATAGCATTTAGGGACTTGGTTTAGTGGTGGACTTGGCAGTGCCACATTTCTAGTCAGACTCGATCTTAAGGGCCTTTCTCACTCTAAATTGATTTGATGATAAACTGCAGATATTTGAGATTTGCCAGTGCACAACCCAGTGGTGAAGGAACAGCTGCATGCTCAGTTTGGGCAGAGGCACAGAGACAAGCAGTGACAATATCAGCCCTGCTGGCACACCACCCTCATGCATGCCAGTCTGCACCTTCCCCACAGCAGGACAGCTCCACTATCTCACATCTTTAGCCTCCCAGATAAAAGCTGAGAGAAGGTGAGATTTAGGGTCAGATGCAACAGACCATTACCCAGGCCTGTGCAACTGCCACCAGGAACTTAATTAAATCATCGTTTTGTGGCTTGCACAAAAGCCAGCAGATTGCAGAAGCCTTCTGGGGCAGTGGATGGGCTGGATTTGAACCAGTAACCTAGAAGCAGAGTGTCCCAGATTTTGCTGTTAAAGCTTTATTACATCCAGCCCTTGAGGCTCTTTCAGTTAAGGACGCTACACTTACACACAGCAGGTAGGAAAATTCCGACATGGATTTTGAAGATTGGCACACATAATTTCAAAAGCCGCTGTTTCACTCAAGTGCTTAAAATAACAGTTCACCTCAACTGTCTTCTCCCCCTCCTCATCCCGGGGTGGGGGGGTGGTGGAAACCTATCCAAAACAAAGCAAACTCTCCCCAGCTTACACACGAGTGCACGCACACGCTCACAAGAGAGCACTTATCTTTGAGGCTAGCTTGTCCTCTGAACGTGAAGTGCCTCTTGTCAGCTCAGTTTCTCACAAGTTCAAGGAGCAGCCAGCAGTGCACAAAGAGGCACCGTGCTGTGGCAGACACCATGCCACCCTGGGCTCCAGCTGAGCAGCCTCTTCTGTCACTTGTGCACACTCTGAGACATTCAAAGCAGCGATCAAAGAAGTGAAGCAACTTACCTCTAGTTTTTTGTGTGTACAGTACTCCAAGGAGGCAAAAAAAAGCCCACCTTCAGTGGCTGTTTACTCTGCCTTGGAGGCTTTGAAGGGATCTGTGGGCTATCAAAACCAGTGATAGATGCAATGCCAGAGTAAACAGTCATGTGTTGGGCACACTTGCTAAGTCATCAAGGCCTTTTGGGTTCAATTTCTCAAAAATTGCTGGGTTATTATGAGTTGGAAAAACACTTAGAGATAATAAAAAGTAAATTAACAGCAGAAAAAGAGCAGAGGGAACCCCCCATCCTGTAACACAGTTGTGACTTTTAAGGAGCTCTGTAAGTTGAAGCTGCCCAATTAGAAAATGGAGCACCAATTACCCTAAGCAGGCTAATAGCCTTTCGGTCAGCAGACCAACACCAAGCTTTTGGAAGAACAATAGGAGCTAACAAAACTGAACTACGGCCACGATACAGTGACCTCCCAGTCTCCCTCCTGGCCACTCACCCCCACGGCTAGGCTGAGCTGCTCACGGGTGGGCAGGAAGACACAGACACTCCGGATCTCTGGCTGCATCCTGCCTGTCAGCAGTGCCCTGCTCATGGTGGGCAGCTCCACAGGGACCAGGGTCTCCTCTCCAGACGGGTTCTCAGGCTCCCTTCATCCCATGCACCTGTTGAAAAGGCGAGATCATCAGTGCCGTGCTTCTGTCGGCACTGGAAGCAGCTCACAGCATGCATGTGATGGGATGTTTTTCTTGCTGCTGTTTAAAAACAAAAAAACCAAAACAACAGTCATTCATTTTCCAAGGCCAGCCATCATTTCCACCAGCATCATAGCACAGACCAGGCAGCGTCAACCTTTAAATAGCTTGAAAGTCCGAGGAGAGTGCCATAAAACAATGCAGTCCCTCTGGAATAACAAACCAGACTCAAGGTTTCCAGACACATGAAAATGATAAGGCAGGTGACTGCTTCCTGAAAACACCCATGACAAGGGGGAGCATCCTGTTCTTCAGCCAGGTACCTCACCCTCAGCCAAAGCAGAGATTTCAATGGGCTATCAGCAGGCACGCGTCAGTGCAGACAACTTCATCTGACCTGTCTTCCCCATCACTCCATCCCTAGTCCCTGGGAAATCGCTGTCTCAAATCCTCTGTACCACAACTCAAAGGATGAGGTGGAACACAAACTCCCAAGGCTGAGTCACTGTCAAACACTTTTTGTGAGGTAAGCACTGCCAACCTCCTCTCAAGGAGGTTGTATTTAAAATCATATTTGTCCTGGTTCAGGAGGAAAATATGAGAGAATCAAATCCGTGTATGGGAGGGGGAAAAGCAAACTGTCATGGGAAAACAAAGTACAGTACAGAAAACAGAACTTGATTTTATCCCTCTCCCTTCAACTTCATGCTCAAGCCTTCATTTTTTTTTTTTTTTTAAAATCAAATACAAGGAAGATCTGCAAGTGTCCTTTCGCATGTATAGAAGCTGTTCCATGCATCTCCTTCCCTGAGCCAGAATATATAAAGTTCTTAATACAGCAATTTTTGATTCAAGTTAAGTAGAGCATTCCTTATGAGACAGAAGTACACAAAAAAATTGCAGAAGAGGGGATTATTAAAGGCTATTATTATTACTTTTTTCAAAACTGGTATTTAGCTAAACAAGAACTAGGAGTTTTTAAAAGATTGCTCTAAATTATAAGCAAGTGACAAAAACACATTTGACTTTCTGGGACAGGTGAAAGCTGTCATTAAATGAAATATTAAGAGAAAAACTCTGATTTATCTTCTCTCATTGATATAATTATACTGTCATGCTCTCTTAGGCTCTGGACTACGCATGTAGTATATGGCTGTATATAAATTACAGATGTCTACAGAATGACTTGAGGGCAACAAGTCACCATTATTGTTGCCAACTGATGTCATACATGCCATAAACTTTATCAACAGCATAAAGACCTCGGAATATGAACTCAAGGTTTTCAACATAAGGAGGTTTACCTTAATTGTCAAACAGCTGCACTGGCTGGTACACGTTCCCACTTGCAAAGGGAAATCACAGCCAGACATTCATGGGACTCATACCAGAATTGAAAACAGGACCAAAAAAGTGGCCATGAAAAATATATGCACAGTTTCCTGTGGACAACTGAAGAAAATGAATCCCAGTTCCCTACAGAATCTATAATAAACAAAGCTTCTGGAAAACTTATTCTCTGGTCTCCTACCTGCTTTGTACACTTCAATTTTAAGAGGCCGTCTGTGGACCCTCAGAACAGGAGAAGTGAGAAAAGCTGGAGAGAAGTTGTTTTTCTTCTTACATTTTAAAACAAATGAGCTTGTGCACCCTGCCACAACAGGTAAGAGGTTAAAAAAGAAATGTCCTTAATCTGAAGGGGGAGGTCAAACACAAGCTCAGCTCAACCTTCTCTTCCTAGAGGTATGTTAGGGTGTGATAAAACTTAATGAATCATTAACTTGCTAGCATTGCATGTTTACACCTTTTTTCTAAAAAAAGAGTTGTGAGTCAAGAGAAACTGCCCAATGAAAATAACTGGCCAGAAGGAATGCTCTTACTTAAACATACACAATTTCAGACTGCCCATATGCCATTCTTTTGTTTACCACTGATTCCAACCTCTCAACCTCAATTAAACCCTAAAAGCTCCAGCAAATGCACTGCAGATGAATTAATAAAAGCTGAAGTCAATCATCGGCCTCTGGGACACCCCACAGGTGGTTTGGTTTTGTTGTGTTGGGGTTTTTTTTCAAACTAACATCACTTCATGTTTTAGCTCCTGCAGAAGTGCATTTTGAGATGTAATTGTTTAGTCAAAGGCCCAGCAAGTCTATCAATTACAACAGTCAAAGGCAGTATTTATTTGTATTCTTCTGGTATCAGACAGGGGGCTTATTGCTGCCCAGAGTGGTGGCACAGCTTATTTAGCAGTGTTTATTTTACCTAAACACACATGCAGCGGAGCTTTGGAAAACATGCCTGTCACTGATTTCAAGCCTTCTCTCTCTGAGCAGTTCAAACATGGCCATAAAAACTCAATTAAATCTTCCTCTCTTCTCTCCACAGATCCTCAAGTTGCCCCCTCAGCATAGGGCCAGAAACTCAGCATTCATTGGGTCAAAGCAGGACTGGATGAGGTTTCCCCCAGCAAGACAGATAAGAGCAGCAAAGTCCTCCATGGAAGGAAGAAGAGGAGGAGAATGAGGAGAAAGGAACCTGTTCGCTTTGGATATCAGAGTGATGGCTCATGAAACCACCTCATACCCCCTATATACACAATGACACAAGGATAAGCTGCAACCACTGAACCTGGGGCCACACCACAGCCAACCTGTCTGGAAGGTCTCATCCAGACACCATGTGTGTTCACATAACCTTAAGAACATCACTGTATTTTACACATTATTTCTCGGGACCACAGCGAATTGGGTCCTAATTATGATTGGGTCCTGATTCTGGCCTTTAGGTATTGCGATGGCCACATCTCAAGTGGACGAAGTGAACAGATGAACGAGCGATCACCTACCAGCTCAGAATAGCAAACCAGAACAAAGTCTTCCTCTATCAAGAAAAAACAACAGATAACTCTGTGCTTCTCTCACAAACACCTCGAAACATGCTTTGTAAGGTTTATTACAGTAAAATACCTGCTTTTCCTAGAGCAGATAGAGAATGAGCATTGAGCATCTTCCTGATGAAACCTTATCATAAGGGCCCTACGGCATCCCATCAAAAACTGTCCAGAAACATTAAGACTCTTGTTAACATTTTCCAGCCATTATCCAGAGATGTCTTAGCTCTCTAAGACTAGACTCCCAGGCTGCAGTTTCACAATCAGCTTAGGCAGCTTTAATCAAGGCAGTCCTGCAGCAAGACAGACAGACAACTGCCTGGAAACAAATCTGCCCCTGGCAGCAACCCACACGTGGGGTACCTTGCACTCATGATGAAACACAGACTTAATATCAAAAAGCCCCCTCACCTTCCAGGTATTTTGTCCCCTCAGACACACACTGTAGGGCACCAGTACTATCTGCAAAACAGAGTAATAAAGAGTCTGAGTAAATAAAAGATGTCATGATGGCATATATTAGCCTTTCCCAGCAACTTTAACACTCCACCCACCTCTTTTGACTATCCCCTGCAATGATGAAAGTTTCTCTGGGAAGATGCATCAGTCAGGAGGGAGGGGAAAAAAAGTTGCTTGTCAGGGCAGAAAAGAAGACTGAAGCTAAATAGCTTTATGTCATGGCTGCAGATGATGTGAAAGATGACCAAGAGTCAGGACAACTAAGTCACATCCTGTAGCATATTCCCAGAAACACACTGACTTTTCAAACGCGTCTGTCTCAGCATCATTCCAGGACTAGCATGACACATCCAAGGGCAAAGATGCCACAAGGAGGTAAGGTACCAGATTTGGTATCCACAAACCACTTAGGACACACACCTGCCTTCAAACACTGAGCGCTACTTAGTAGCGCTAACACGGACAGATACAACACTGGCAGCAGGGACAACTGGCTTCAGCCTCCTAATGTGGGAGATGCCATTGCAGCAAGGCTTCTATATCTGCTAACCACAAGTAGGTCAGGTCTGAGCATGGTCCTCTTGCAGGATTGGGATATGGGCCTGACTTCCATCTTTCCTTCAGGATTTTCAAGAGGTGCAATGCAAGATGCCTTCAAAAACTCCAGGGCTGTGAACCCAAGCAGGTGAGACAGATGGGGAAATCGCTGAGCATTGCTCTTAGGTACCAACCAACACACCTTTTTTTTTTTCTTCCTGTACAAGCAGCACTCTCTGGCGACACTAAGCTTTAACAATAGCAAGGAAAATGCTTTCTCGTTAGTCTTCTTTGCAGCATTAGACACAGCTCTTAGTTAGGCATGACTGCTCACACTCCCCACTTTTGTGCTGTGCAGTTTTCCTGCCTCACATCAAGCACTACATGTGAGTGCTAGAACATGAAACATGCTCTTGAGCTTGTAACTCTTCTGCTCTGTATCACCCACAATGTGGCCATTCCTGGGATGATGCTGCTATGCTACTCTGTAGGCTGCCCTAGTCCTTGAGCTCAAAGACAGGGACAACTCTCCTCATGTAGGGATGGCAGCATTCTCTGATAGCCAGGTAAAAGTGACTCACATTTTTGGGCACACTAACTAGTCCTCAAGGAGAGGAAAAACGCTTACCAGAGGACAGAGCACCAAAGCAGGTGCTCCTGCAGAGCATGGAAGTGCAAGGGCAGGGCAGCACTGGCAGGACCACAATGGGTGGCTGCCACGCTTCCATTTGGCTCTCCCATGGGATGAAAAAAGCTCCTCAGCAGTTTGCTCCATTTGAGGACAGCCTAGCATGACTCACCTGAACTTTTAATATTTTCCTGAAACCAAAACTGAATTCAGGAATCCTTTGAGAGAAATAGACAAATGAGTATTAAAGACTCTAGGCAAAAAAGGACAAATTAGGATCTCACAGAGATTATGTTTTTCCATCACTTCCAAGTGTTGGGAAGTGGCTTTGAATTTTTGCACACAAAAACAGGCAGCCTTTTAAAATACATTATTTTATCAGAAGCATATGCAAAACTTAGCAATGCACATGTTTCAAAGAATGCCCAAACAGCAAGAGTCCGCAGCTAGAGCATGCAATTCAGGTAAAAGTAGTAGTATGTATCCTATTGCAGCTGACTACTGACATGTAGTTTCTCATCATGATGAATCTCTTTACTTCTGCATAACCTATTAATGGACTTGTCTATTGAATACCAATCACTTATAAGACTTCCCCATACTTCATAAATCAAGCACATAAATTAAAATTTAAGAATAAGTAGCACTTTGAGGTATTGATTGGCCTAGGCAAATGCAGAAGCCTAAGAAAAGAAGCAAAAATACAGGATAGGGTGTGAGCCAGCCTCAGTATCCATTACACCTCGCATGGAGCAGCTGCAGAGGAAGCCTGTTCAAAAGTGCCAAGCTCCATTTTCTCAGCTGGATCACCAACACAGCATCGCATGAGAACTTGCAAAGGTTCAGGGAAGTGAATTGCTTGAACAGCCATTCTGGAACAGCAAGCCTGCCTCATCCCAGACACACAGACATCCCTCTTTTGAGATGGAGCTGGAGGGAAAGCTCATTTAAGCGCACACATATGCAGTGCCAGGAGTGCTGTAAAGACAACACCAGTCCGGTACAGCGTGAAGAACACAAACCGAAGATATTTCAATTTGTCACTCCAGTGCTTGGCAATTCTGCCATGTAGTGCAATCTTTAGTGCAGAACATTAATATTTTCTACCTATGGGAAGCAGGAGAGCCAAAATACAGACACAGTGCTGCTCCAAGTCCTTTAAAGTAAGGGAAAGTGAGGGTTCTTTCACAGCCACTGCAACTGTTGGAAAGCTCAGGAAGAGCAGGGAGAGCAGCAGCAAGACCTTCTCTCTACTGGCAACTCAGGAGAGAAGTATCTTTCTATATCATGCAAATTGCAAATACATGAGGTCTCCTGACCCAAAAGCCTGTCAGTTAATTCTCCAACTGGAAACATATTCTTTTTTTTTTTTTCTTTTAGTCTACTGAGGCTATAAACAGGGTATCTCCCAAGGGGATCTATTATACTCTTGCCCCAAGCACAACAGCTGAGAAATAATCTTCTAAAAGCCTGTCTTTGCCCAAGTTATTTCACAGACATAGTATTTTTTATACTTGACCTAGGCTGGACTGATTTGGAATGGATCTCCAAGACTCCAGAAGTATTTTTCAGAGCTGTCCAAAAAAGTGTAAATAAACTCTTCCTTCATTTTCTGTTCTTACCAAGATCTTGTAATAGTTCTACAAGTAAGCAGACTACGAAGCCTTTATTTTAAAAAGGGGGAAAAAAAAGAAGACATAATTTAACTTCACAAGTAATACCTTGAGTTACAGGACCAATAAGGTCAGACACAATATATTTTATCACAATATATCACATAATAAATGCCTCTGAGCAGGAATAGCTTTACTACCAGTAATAATCAGTAAAAAAAAAAAAAAAACTGGCTTACTTCCCCAGAGGAAGGAGAAAGTCCACTAGTGACTTCATGGCATTTGAATCACCACCTAAGTATTCAGACCAACTAGGCAGCTTCTGCATCAGTTTGCTTCTAACTTTTTCCCCCTGAAGTGCACAGATAGTCTTGAACATATTCAGAGCAGAGAGGAATACTGATTTACGTAAAGTAGACAAAAAGAATAGATATAACTCCACCTGGAACACAGCTTGCCTATATTACAAGTGTGAAAATATCCATCTGCCAACATCTTGATAAAATTAACACAAACAGCAGGGCCTTTATGATTAGATGCAGTTTCAGAGGCTGCACACAGCACTGCCAGACATCAGCAAAGCGACGGGGAAATGTGAAGACACAGACCAAAACGAAACAGAACAAAAACAACAAAAAAAACCCCAGCTTTATAGAGAGTGCTTCATTTTTGAGGGGACACAGAAATGTGCAGAAAGAGGAAATAGAGGGGAAAAAAAGAAAAAGTAAGCATAAAAAATGGTTTAACAAAAGCAAATTATCTCATTCCTGTGATCCTCCAGGGAGCAGCTCCTCCTTGTCAGAGGATTAGTTTGGGGCCAAGCCCACCGTTTGTCCATGCTCAGGTACTAGCCACACAATATGAATTAAGGCACCATTGCTAAACACCACCAAGATAATCAAGGAGCAGTGCAGTATCACAGGGCTTTCTGCAAGAAAAGAAGTGTAACCCTGGAGCACAGTAAGCATGCAAGTCATTTACATTGTCTTGCGTTGGAGGAACAGTAGGGCAACGACTTTACTACAAAAGCTATCTGATACAGAGCTAACCACTGGATTCATCTGCTTTTTACCTGCAGTGTTGGGAACAGCAAAGAGTGCTGTAGCCTGAAGGCATTATCAACTTTGCTTTAAAAAAAAACCCAAACAAAACCCCAAAAAACTAACAAAACACACATACACACAAAAAAAAAACACACAAGGAAAAAAATGACCCACAAAACCCCTAATGACATGGCCTTTATCTCATATCTAAAAACTTTTTCTATTAAAAAAAGACTTAGAATGGCAAACCACATGTAAATACAAACGGTGTTTTGTGTCACTGGTGTTTATCACAATTTATCATGCTCATCGTATAAACAACAAAAATTCTAAGGGAAAAAAACCTCTCCAAAGAGCACAGACAGTATTGTTTGGTAAACCACTGAAAAGAATCACTACAATTTCTGTTCTTCAATAGCATTATGCAGACTTAATTTTGCTTATACTTATCTCACTCTTTTTTGTTTCCTTCCTTTTTTTTTTTCCCTTAAGGTGATCTCTGCAAGAAAACTTTCCCCGTTCCTCCCTCCCCCGCTTCAGATTCCATTTTTTTGTGAGGTGGCATTCCTCATCTGAAGCCAAATCACTGACTACTACACAGTCTCTCAACATTACCAGTGCTGAAAACAGAACACTTTGATAAAGAATGTATAACAATTAAATGGAAGGAACAATCAGCAGTGAGGCCCTGACACTCTGTTGTCATTCCAAGTTTACCACAAACAAAATAAAATAAAAAAAAGTTAAATAAATTAATGGGACACCAATGTCCAAACAGTTGTGGTTTGTTGCTTTGGGGTTTTTTTTTAACGTTTTTGAAGTATTTATTGTCAGGGCCTGGGCATCATAGCAGTACTCTGAAGAAAGGACAAGGTTCAGAAAACACGTTAGTTTCCTGGTGTGGTGGAAAACCACAGATGTGCATTTTAAATTCCACAGGGGAGTTGACCTGAGAGCCTGTCACTGTCAAACAGCAGGAGAAACATCTCCCGGCGCAGATGATGATTTCTCAGCACCGGAAAACCAGAGCTTTTCCCTGTAAATCTTTACCAAAAATTACAAGAGGTGGAGAAACAAAAAAGGTGTGGAGACTTTTTCACTTCTGACGCCCACTCACTTCTCCTGCGTGCACACACCTGCCGGGACACTCATCTCCTCGCCTGTCCCGCCCACAGCGGGCCGACCAAAGTCCCTCGCGGCTGTCAGACCACTCAGACCAGCCCCACGGGATGCCTCCAGCCCCTCGCCCCCGAGGCTGCCCCCGCGGAGGTGCCGGCCCAGTGCTGTACCCACGCGGCTCACCTGCCCCAGGTGCTGCAGCACGGGGGGCCCCGCGGGGCCGTGGCCCTGTCACTCTCCGCACCTGCGAGGCAGGTGGCAGCCAAGCAAGCGCCAGCTGGGGCGCGTCCCACACTCGTGCCATCGCGTGGCCCACGGGAGCTCCCTGGGGCCGCAGCCGGCCCCGGGTGCCTCCCGTCGCGCAGCCGGTGTCTTGCTGGTCCCGCCCAAGCATCACCCCACCACCTAGCACCGGCGAGACCCACCGGCGGCGCCCAGTCCACGACACGGACGGACTGATGAGTTGTCAAGACTCCAAACTCCTCCGGAGCCCCGTCCCCTCCTGTCCTCAGCCTGTGCCGGCCCGCCCCCGCTGCCTCCGTCCGGGAGCCGCAGCCACCATCGCTAAGAGACACGCACGGCGGCGGCTCTGACGGGAAAATCCCCTGATAACGTGACACAACGGGAGACCGCTCCGGCCGCAGCTCGCACCGCCCTGCAGCCGCAAAGTTGTAAATACACTTTCGCAGCCGCTGCTGCGCGTTGGGACCGACCGCCGCCCGGCGGAGCATGGAGCCGCTCCCGGCCCGGCGAGCAGCGCACCCCCGTCCGATGCCCTCGCCCGCACCATCCCCTCGCCCCGGGCGGCGGGCACAGCCGGGCGCTCCGCGGGTCCCGCAGCCGCGCCGCGCCCACGGGCTCCGCCGGGACCGCTCCCCGCACCCGGGACCTGTCTCCGCCTCCTTTGTCCCTCGGCAGCTCACCGGGACCGCGCCCGCCTCCCCGCTGCCGCAGGGGCCCCGGAGGGACGTGGGCGCCCCGGAACCCCCCCGCGCTGCTGTCCCGACGGCGCAGCCCGCGCACTTACCGTGGGGTGGCCCCGGCCGCGGAGCTCTGCCGTGTCCTCCGTTGCAGCATCCAGCGCACGCCGGAGCCCTGGAGGAGGACCGGCGGTGGGGCGGATCCAGGCGGGGCGGGACACGGGGAGGGGAAAAGAGAGGGCGGGACGGGCGGTGTGTGTGCGTGCAGGGTTAGCCCGCGTGTGGGCTGGTGGTGGGGAGAGGCTGGTGGGGCAGGCGCGGGGTTTGGGGACGGTGTTGTTCTCAGCGGGTACTGAATGCACCGCACTGACAGCGATGAAGTCTGCGTAGAGGAAGTTGTAATTAAGAATGATCACAGCAAGTCGCTGGAACTTGGTCCATGTGGTCCAGCCGTGGGGAGGTTTGGCTGGGCGGTGCTGTCAAGGGGAGACGGCCCAAAGCGTAAGATACAGTCGGGGATCGGATCAGGGAAAGCGAGGCGCCCTGAGGGGCGTGGGAGTCACCGTGCTCGAAAGGAGGTGCTTGTGCTGCACACATAGCATAATGCCTCTTGCTTCCCTTGCTTCACTCCCTCTTCTGTGATATAATTTGTGGGTTTTTTAATATAGTAATTTTATGAAAGAATGTTGACATCATCTCAAGTTCTGTAGTGTTGCTCCCTCTTCCTCAAGAATAGGCCATAGTTCAATTTCTCCACGTATCCAGTTGCATGTGAGAGTGCAGCTGGCATGAGAACAGGGGTGGCAGGGTGCTGTAAGGGGAGCAGGTGGGAAGACTTTCACACCATGTTGCACTACTCTGTAAGAAAGGAGTTGAGATTTGCCCAGGAGGGACCACAAGAGCAAGCCTGACTTGCTGGAGTGATGTGGCCACCTGACAGGGTGAGGGAAGCAGCGCACCAGATCGCTTGTCCTTGCTCCCAGTTTTAATTTTGCATTTTAAGTTGGTCATGAGACTGGCTAAAACCTCAACCTTGCTGGTGTGGCTGACAGGGATGACAATTTACCTTTGCCTCTTCCCAGCTGGACTGTAGCAGTGAGGCTGCTCTGTGAGCACATCTCATCGCCAAGCCTTCTCTTCCCCCAGCAGTCTTCTGGGAGAAAATATCAGTGTCTTAGTCATTATCTAAGCAAACAGGTAGGCACCTCCTTTCAGGAATGGTTCCAGGGCTGTAGGTCCTAGATGAACAGAATTGACTCCCAGTGGCCAAAGTTAAGTTTTTCATGGTTTGTCCTTTTGTTTAGCCCGGCCTGATTTATACAGTTGCCCTCTCAGCATGCCAGCTGTTTCTAATGCTGTTTGGAACTGCCTAATAAATGGTTTCATGGGCAGCTGCACTGGCATGCAGCTTCCCTCTGTTAACAGAAAGATGTCTCACTGTCCTCCTGTTTTTATTCCTTCCTGTCTTCTGTCTCCTTCACTCCCTTTGCTCATGGCTGTAGCACCTTCCTTGAGCCAGTGCTGCAGCATTTCAGACTGCTAAACTGGTCAATCTCACTAAATGGACTGAAAATTTTTTTGCTTGAAGAGTGGTCTGTCATGTTGGTGAATTAGATTGTCTTATGGAGTGGTCCAGCCAGTGTTGGAGTTAGCATCTTGTAATAGCACCTACATTTCCTCATTTACTTTCTGCGTGGTTTGCAGAATTAAATGCAAGGGCACAGAATCTGGTGCCCCAATGTAGGCTCTGTTGTTGACATGTTCTTATTTAACCTGCCCAGTACCACTCATAAAGCCTGCAGCAGAGCCAGCCCAGTACTCTGGTCACAGTAGGACTTTCTGTCACGCTCTGACAGCTAGTGGAGAACTCAAAATGTTAGCAAACAGCTCTGAACAGTTGCTGCATGCTTCTGGGATTTGATCATTTGAAAAAGTTTCTGTGATAGGGTCCTTTAGCTATGACAGGAGGAAAGCACCACATCTAGGCTGCTGAGACAGGGGAATGCTTTGGTATTTCCTTCCCACAGAACCTGAATAGGAGAGTAAGAAAAGTGTGGGTCATGTGCAGGTGATGCTCCCAGGGTAGACATGATCAGAGTGGAATATAGTACAGAATGTCAGGTCCGATTACCTTAATTGGAAGTATAGTAATTATGCTGCATAGCTGGTCTCGTAGGATTGGCAGACCTTGTGTCTCACCCTGGAGAAAACAAGCTGCATTTTGAGAAACATCAGAACTGCAGGAAAATGGAGATAATGTCAGCCTGTTTGTTTTTGAAGAAGACATCAAAGTGTTGGAGACTGAAGATATCTGTGTTCCAAGGAAATACCACTGCAAGTTTTCAAAGCATCAGCTTCAGCTCTCCTTCTTGCAGTGCAGATAAGCAAGTTTCATTCAGCTTGCTCTGTAAAGTGGAAGCTGGAGAGGAGGATTTGTGAAATGGTTTTTAAAAACCAGGTGTCTTCAGAAAATAGAGCCCCTTTTCTAAACTCTCATGCAGAGTTATGCTGGAGTCAGAGGGACCCCACGCAAAAATAAAAGTTTGCATAAGCAGATGTCTTTACTTATAGTCTTGTCTGCATTGCACATAGACATTAAGATCTTCTAGTGCAAAAGGGAAAGCTGGGATTTGCCTTCTCTGTCTTAGAAAAAGTATCCCTTTCCTTTTCTTACAATAATTATCGCAATGTGTATGGGAGATAATTTTGTTGCTACTATTTATTGTCTAGTTCACAGGCAGCACCTAGGCTTGGAGAGAAACGGGCTGTTTGTAGAGTTTGGAAACAAAAGGAGTTTTCACTAATGATGTCGGGGAGCTGAAGCTGGCTTCAAGCTGTTCAAGTCATGAGAGGATGACTCAGAAGTCAGAAATTTGAGGCATTCCTATGTCTAGCGTTTAATCAACAGGCAAAGCGTTGGGAGGTAAGCAGAGGAAATCAATGGCAAATCAAAGAAGAATAGGTCAGCTATTTATTAGAGAAAGGATTGATCTCAGGGATATTAACAGAAAGAAGGGCATGAAATGAATCCTAAAGAAAGTTTGAACTAACTGTGGCTGCAGTAAGCTGGCAGTCAGGAAGCCTTAAAAAAATTACTTGACTGTCTTGCATAAAAGGCAATTTGCAGAACTCTGCATTCTCAAAGTCAGATTTAACCAGCAACACGTTACAGAGACCTTCCAGCCATAATGCAGCTCTTGCAGGAGTAATAACTATTTGTGTATATTTGTCAATGTTTATACAGTCATCATAGGTATTACACATGAAATGATAATAATCTGCTTTCTGCTAGCATACACGCTGAGCAAAATCTTATTTGGTGATGTTTTCAGTGCATGTTAGAGCTTGATTTTTCTGGCTCTTGTCTTGTTCCTAGAAAATAATTCATAGCCTCAGTGGGACTATTCATCATCCCAGGGCTTTCATGTTTAGCATGTTGCAAAAGCAGGTTTAATTTTGAGCTCTGGGGTAGAGATTTTTTTTTTAGTCTTAAAATATCAAACATCTAAATAGCATGCAAACAATAAAAAATACTTATAAAGTTACAGGGTGGCTTACATGCTATTAACAGTATTGGTTACATTATTGGTAAAAATTAGCCATTATTATACAAAAAGCCTTATACAAGGTATAGATATAATCGGTGAGGTTTAAGACACCACTTTACATTAAATAGAAATCAAATGTTTGTTATGCTGATCGTTGAGTACCTTACACTGCAAGTGAGGCCAAGGTACAAATCTGAAGCCTTAAAGTGCCTGTGGGCACTTGAGGGATGGCTTCTCTGCCAAGGATTTGCCATGTACTGTAAAGATGTGGGAGACTTGACTTTATGCTCTATTGTCTCTGGTGCCATATATGGCACTGTGTATTATATCTTTCATTCCAGAGGATCGTGATGTGCTTCTTTGTTTTTTTCATTTGACGTTAAAACAGAGACACCTTCAGGTAGTAAGGGAACAGCTGCATAATGCTCCATCAGCAACCTTTGGAAACCAGGTGGGGAATTGGGGTAGGGAGAATGGGTTCATAAATCAAATTTGGCCCTAGAGCGCAGGGACTGTAACTCGTAGCCTTGGGAGAGTTTCTGTGGGACTGCATTTACTAAAACGTTCACAAGTTTCATTTTACTGCTAAAGAGAAACAGAAAAACTCTCAGTAACACTAAACTATCTAACATCATTATAGGCTCATGATTTTATTCTGACTGACCAAATTCCTGGGGCCCTTGGTTTCAAAATTTCCTAGCCCAAGCTCTAGTCAAGCCCAAACCTGCATTCATTACATGGCCTCCTGAGACCCCAGCTAGTGGTGGCACGGCACTGGCCATGAGTTTAAATCACGTTCTCTCTGACAGGACCCATTTGACGTATGTTTGCCTATACAGGTGCTCTGGCAACTTGGTATCTGTAGTGAAACACACAAAGTGCATAAGCTGCTGGTATGTCCCTTTCTGGGGACAGGAGCTGTGTGCGGATTTCATCATACGCTGCAGTTCAAACTGTGAAGGTTTGGTTACTTTCAGACAATTTTGAAACCATTCCAGAGCTGTTAAATCCCTGCCCAGGGTTTCTCAGTGCTTATCATGTCTGTGCTAGGCTTCAGTCACAATGCTAAAATAATTTCATGTCCTCTGCATGGCAAACATCTTCATTCAAACATTGTCATGCACTGCTTAATAAAGAATTCTTTTGGGCTGTCTGTTCCCTGGAAGTTTTCCTCTCTCAGCCCCTAAGGACAACAATCTGGCCAAAGCCGGACCTTGCAAAGGAGTAAATGGTCTCTGCTGTCTCTGAGGATGAGTTTCACAAGGTCTTTTCACTTCGTTTTGCTTTCATTCAGCTTTGTGTTTATTTTTGCTCTGATTAGAATTACTGTCTGTAATATTGTTTTCCTATTTTTAACTTTTTCTCTCTAGCTGACTTAAAATGTTTTTAATCTAAAATTAAGAATAACAGCACTGGGTGATGGGGAAGGGTAGGTTTTGGTTACAAAAACTAATCAGTTGTGGAGATATTTGAAACAATATTCTATGGTTAAGCTTTTTTAAAAAATATCAAATGCAGACTTTTTTTTTAAAATCTGCATTTCTGTGTTCTTCCCTAGATCTAGTAACAGAAATGTCTGCAATTACAAAGTTCTAGAGTACTAGCAAAAAGGC